CACAGATTGCTTTAATAAATATTCCGAAAGGGGCGATGGTCAGGAGAAATGTGTTTACACAGGCCAAACGAGCGGGTAAAAATGGCAAAACAACTCAGAAAGAAGAAACCCGAGGAAAATCAACGACAATATTCGAAACATTTTTAAAACACATTTAGAAAACAAAGAGGGAAAGCTACCAGAGCGAAATGGAGCACTCCTCAACAATGTTAATGTCGAAAGGCAAGAGCTAGGTCAGCAAAGGACGCAGAAAAAAAAAGGAAAAGAAATGTAAGAAAGAAAGGCGCCAAAGTCAAGCAAGGCACACACACACACATGGCGTATGCGCAATCTTCGTGTATCGTGTATCCTGCGAACGGCTCCTTTGTGTGCGAGAATGGAGCGCGTGCTGACACTTAATCTTCCAGCTGACGCAGATGCAGCCCAGGATATGGCAGTCATATATCTAGAAGGCTTTGAACTTCCCAGGCAGCGGATGTCCCATGTTATCCGCCTTCCAAGCGATTCAAGAAGTGAAAAAAACAGAAGCCAAAGATAATGCACCGGGCAAAAGGGTTTCCTTCTAGCATAAAACAAGAACTGAATGCAAAATGGGTTGGACTTTAGGTTCCACTTCATAAAACTGGAACACACTTCAAGCTGTTTGTAGAAAATACAATCGAAGAACATTATGTTATACTTTTATTGGTCATTTTCCATTAAAGACATAGTTTACCACTTTTTTTCTTTGAGGCAATTTCATCCACCATTTGCCCAACACTGCGTATGAGTTATGAAAATCATTTCCGTACATCATAAGCAGCAACTGTGACAGAGAAATGCTCACGAATACTTCAAAGTCAGAAATTGATTTAAGTCAATTAATTATAACGACCAGCAATAACAACAAACTCGCTGACTAGCCACGCCCTCCAGCCCTCTTTTTGCTACATCGCCAGTTAACAGCGTCACGTTCATGCCCTGTAAAACAGAACTTGGTACTTTCTAATACAATATATATTATAAATTTAAGGCGAAAATCTCGTTTCCAGCTTAGATTGATCTTAAAGGAATCATAAATCCCTTAAACTCTTCCATTCTGGTAGTCTAATTATAATTACTTTAACTAAAAGCGAGACTAATATTTATTTTTCTCTCTGTGTGGCAACATCAATTGGCCAGCTGCTTTTGGGGGGTGGCAAAGGGTTTTAGCTGGACAGATGGGTTGGTGGGTGGAAAAGGCCATGTAATCGTATTAGGCAAACGGAACTGGTAGCTGGACGAGCACGTGTTTGCTGACGGTTGGCGGGTTGGAAAGGTGGATGGGGTTGCCAGGGGGTACTTAAAGGTAATTGTATTTGTGCAGTGCAAACATGGCGTGTTTTATTAACAGAGAGAGAGAGAGAGAGAGTTAAGTAGAGAGAGCGAGAGTGGAATGTGTTTACTCATATGTCTTGTCAAAGACAAGTTAATTATTTTAACATGTGTGTAACTCTGCGTTTGTGTGCGTTCATTGTTGTGTTTATTTTTGGCCATCGATTTTCACACGCTCTACATTACAGCCAGCCAAACACAAACAGCCAAAATTTTACAAGAAGATCCAGGCTCAATGGCTTGGCATATTGCCTGCCTTATTATAAACAGTCTCTCACCCTCCCTCTCTCTCCTCTGGCAGAGTTTTTCCAAATATTTGCACAATATTTGTCAGAATTAATTAACAATGTGAGTGAGCGAGCGGGGCAACGCTTGTGCTGCCTCAGCATATTTCAACTTTTTTAATGCCAGGCACTTGTTTACTCGAAAGCGCTTTGCATAAATTGCACAACTCAAGCCCGAAAAAAAATGTGCACAATTTAATTAAATTTATGCGAGGAAATTTCTTTCGTATAAAGAATAGCAAATAAACTGGAAAGGACCTTTATTGCAATGCATTTTATAGAATTACATGAGTAGAAAAGAAGTAATAAGTGAAGAACAGAAATTGTAAACAACATCTTACATATATTCAGAACTCAAAACAATAGTTATTGTGGATAGATTGAAGCTGTATTTTTGCTGATTGATCCCTTTCTTAACTCTTAAACCAACCTCTATAAACCTCCATATTAAGTCATTCAAAATGCATGATTAGGAACTTTCTTAAGTAAACTTTTAGTTATGAAGGATTAACAAGTGTTATTAAGCCCAAAGTAATAACGAACCCAATTATTTCCTTCTAACTTTCAATGCAAATATTACCCCTTAACTATCTCAGCTATCCCCTTATCAATTCCTTTCTGTAACTCACTAACCAATCCATCACTATCAGTATTTCCACATTTATCTTACCAACTTCAAGAGGCCGTTTCTTCCCCCAAAAAGAAGTGGCAACCTATCACTCTGCTCCTCATCACCGACTAACGAGGCTGCAGAAAACCTGCTTATAATTACCCCACCGGATTACACATTGCCTAACAAGGCCCATTCATTAATGTCATCAAATTCTTGAAGGACAGGCGACAACGTCTTCCATCTCCTCCTGTAAATCTGCAACATTATGTCAACACACACACACACACAGATACAGTTTGCAAATGGCTCACGTTAATGGGAAGTCCCCGGTGCCTGTACCTCCTCAGTACCTAGCTCCTGGAATTTCCACAAAGTTGCAGTTCCTGCAAATGCCATAAAAAGCCAACAGAAATGGCAGCAACAGCCGTGGCAACAATAAAAGCAGAAACATCTAGGCTGTGGATCTGAGTTTTGGCACGGCTATCATTCAGGTGGACGACGTGAATTTTCCGAATAAAAACGTTTCGGTTTTATGGCCCTCTCTGCGATAGTTAACATTTTTGCAGCGCAAAATGGTGCTGAAGTATGCAGGTGCCAGCCAATTTAATGCCATTTGCTGCTCAACGATTGCTAGAAAATATGTATTCGCATTTCATTAAGGAAAATGGAAGGAAAACCTGGCGACATCTTATTAAAGTCCAGCATTTTTGTTGGGAAAAAAGTCAATACGACGAATTATAATAATACTTTTAAATTCCAGTAACTATTTCAATTTTCAAATAATTTTTCTTATATTTCCCGAACCAATTTGTGAACTTTTTGCTTTATTTCCCTTTGAAAGGAGTGGAAAAGCTGTAAAGGATAAAGTCCTGGATGCAATGTCTCTGTGTAACTTGAACAACTTCAGGCTTCTTCTCCGGCAATTCGAGATTGCCTCTTCAGGACCTCCTGCCATCCATTCATCCATTCTCCGCCCATTTGGCTCTCGGCCAGTTTGAGCCATTGGTGTGCATTTCATGCTGCCTGTGTTTACAAGCTAAATTCATTCGCCGCCGCCGCTCGTCGCCTGCCGTCATCAGGAATGTGATGATATCCATGCACCCTCCCCTTCGGTTTTCTACCTTGATATTGCTGTTTCTCTAACTCGCCCCCTCCCCACACCTTGTTGTTGCTGGACTCCTGACAATGCAGGCTACTGATGGGAAAATGGCTGCAACAATGGCAACATGAGCCCCATCAGCGTCATCAGGATCTATTGCCTGGCGTCAACCTGACAACGGGAAAGGCACTGAAGGAAAATCTTACTTCAAGTTTCATATCTATTCAATTATTTTAATCAAGAAAGTATATGAAAGTTTTCCTTTTAAAGAAAGAATTTATCAAATGAAACAAACAGATTATAAACTTATATTAATATTAGGCATAAGCCTTAACACACTTTTCCCAGTGTATATTGCATTTGTTCCATCTACCACAACGATATGTGATAAGTTTATGCAAGCCATTGCTAACGTTTGCATCTTTCAATTTGTGCAAGAGTCTAATTTCCAGCCAAAGATAGCTACCAAACTTCTGGTCTTCCTCTTATTATCTGGATATAATCCCAACATTATGACTGACGTTGGCTATATAGTCTTCTGGTGAAACAATATGGTCAAAAAACTCTCCAACAAAGATGAGAGACAGTGGCAGTCGTGGCTGGTCGTTGGCCAAGTTAAGTCGGATTTATGTTGATGATGCAGTCGAGTTATGAGGCGCCCAGTTGGAAGTTCTAGTTGTGATCTGAAATCCGAGACCCGCTCTCAATGTGTCCTGTTCACTTTCCCGTTTTCCCATGGCACTCGTCCTTTGTTCTAATTGATGTTGCGGGCTGCCTTTCTGAAATTGTCACATGAGTTGGGCTCCTTTTTTGTTGTATACTATATATAGATATGGTGAGTGCCATAAAAATATTAGTTTTCCATCCGAATCTGGAAAAAACAGAACTTAAGCCGTCTTTGCAGTCAGCGAAAAGTTATTTCGGTTTAAGTCTTCAAGCAATTTTATTTAAGGCATTTAAAGGAGTCTTTAAATTGTTTTCTTTTTTTCACTTTTGCTTTTTTCAACCTCTTTTTCCATCTCTATAACAGACAGCCTAACATCTAAGTACCAAAACCAACAAAACTAACCCCAAATCCATGTAGCATGTGTGTGATATGCGAACAAGTTCTCGGGCTTACTTTGACACATGGGTAATGGGAAAATGTAGTGTACATCTGGCCATCGTCAGACGAGGCGAAATGAAATGGAAAGCCACATGGCGGCATTATGGATTAGATGTGTAAAACGGTTTTCCGACTGTCACAGAAAGTGATGTGCCAACCGAGGATTTCGTTTGGACATTTATTTATTTCCCAAAATAGTTGACACTCTCAATCAGCTTAGCTTTGAAATCATTTTACAGCCTACGCTTCATTTATAAACAATTTATTTTACAAATTTCCGGGGACTAAATTTGAAATCTACTTAATTAATCCTTTAATCTAGAAAAAGTAGCTATTGTAAATCAGCATTCAGAGCTTAAAATGTAATAATTTAACCAGTTTTATTGTGGTGCGAATAAAATGAACCAATTGTGGGTGGAAATATCTATTTAATTGCCACTTTAGAGCGACAAAACCAAAGCATTTGATCCTTCTTAAACAATTGTTGCCGCAAATATTATCCCAGAATACTGAATGGCTTTTCCTTTTCACTTTTTTTCTCTACAGATTGCAAATTGAAATGGCAGCAACAATGTGAACGACCAGAAGAGCAACAATACCAGCGAAGAGCACTGAAAATAAGTAGCATAAAAAGAGTAAAGAAAGAGTGGAAAATAGAAAACTATCTGGATAGAAACGAACGAAATCATAAACAAGAATGCGAAGCATTTGCAGAGGACTGTGAGCTGCAAGGATGATGCAATGCGAAGGCGACGCAGATTGCATTCAAGGACCGCTGGGCCAGCAAACAATCAGTGGGGCAAACAATGAGAACTAATAAAGCACTTAAGCTTATAGACGACCAGCGACAACAAGGACACCCAAGTGGAAGCAAGTCTCCAGCAGCAGCATAGCAGCAGCAGCAGCAGCATCAATCAAAATAAGATTCACCCTGCCACGGGTCGTATGATCAACGTGCATCAATTTGATATACAGACAATGGCGGAATCGCCTCAAATTAGACGCAACATGGTTCCCCATTATGCCACATTGCCTTCGAAGGACTGTGATGATGGGGCCAATACAGTTTCTAGGGCAACAACACCGCTGACAGCCAATGGTGCCACAACCACTGGGCTAACTGTTACCGTTACCCCGAAAGACATGCAACGAAACCACCTGCTAAAGATGCCAACAGCAACAATAGAGAAACCAACGATAACAGCCACCAGCACCAGCACCACTAGAAAATCATCAACAGCCGTTCGGTATCCATCCCCGACATTAAGGATATTAGCCAAGGGTCTGCTGCTACCCATCCTGATCCTGGGCATCCTCGTGGGCAGCAGCCAGGCGGGATTCGCTTGCCTCAGCAATCCCTGTGTGTTTGGCGTGTGCATCGATGGCCTGAACAGGTGAGTTCAGGTGTAAGAGCCTCTTACCAAGCGGCTAGAGATGGTAGCTCTTAAGAGCTTTTTATTTTAAAGTTAAAAAAACCTTTTTAAACTAAAAGCCAAAAGCAATATTTAAAATAATATACAAATCGACTTTCAAAACAGAAAACTAGTTTTAGTATCTCAAAATTAAAGATATTTTCTTCGTTATTTTTCTTTAATTTCGATAGATTTTGTGGCAGATCCCTTACCATCCTTAGCAATTGGTTAAAAGCCCTCTCTGTCCTTTTACTTTTTTTTTGCTTATTATCGGCCAGGCAGCGACCAATAAACCCGTCCAACACATTTCGAGTGGCAATAAACTTGCGCCACTTGAGCATCGGGAGAGCAACCAGCTTCAGTTTCAGTTGCCCTGACCGGGAATATGCCATGCCATGCCACAGTATATACGATCCCATGCCGTATAGAGAAACCTCGATGTTGATGCCGCCACTTAGCAGGGAAATGAATTTGCCACAGCTGTCCCCCTCCCCCCCTTGGGTTTTATTTTCTGCTCCTGTTCGAGGAGGGAGGCATGCATCCCACCATCCTTTTGCATCCTTCACACTTTTTTAATGCATGCCCGTTTAAATGGGGTTAAGTTGCGGCCACTGCAAATGTGGCAACGAGGAGGCGAAGGCGGAGGCGGACAGGCCATAGGGCGGCCAAAAGGGTTGAGTGGGTTTCAATTGCAAGCAGCTGGAAAATTATTAACTTGAACGACCAACCAAAGTGCATTCTTAATGCAGAAAATTTATAGTCAAGATATGCAAAATATTTCAAGTGTTATTAAAAATGCAAAGTTAGATAGGGCAAGGAATTTAATTAAATATTTTTATTTAAAGGATAATTAAGGTTTGAGGAGGTTTCATATTAGTTTATTTCTAGGGAAAGCGATAGATTTTCAACTTCTTTGAGGATCACTATGCAAATCCCTTGCTTATATCTCAGAGATCTTTATTTCATCTTAAATTCAAATCAGAGAAGCTTTCCGAAATTGCTTCACTTTCCACCATTCAGTGGGGTAAACTTTGAGGCTTAACCATGGGATTTTCCCTCAGACTTGCAAGCTTATAGCTCTATATATATAGCTCAATACCGATTGCACAAACAAGTTCAAATTTTTCTCCTTGACGCCATTTATAGAACTAAGTAACTGGCATTTTATTTTTCCATGCTATGCTCACTTCGCGATATATGCAACCGCTAATCCCACCCAAAAGCCATCCAGACCATCGAAAAACTCAACCCCAACCAGCAACGGGAAAAGGCGGTTAAGATATTTTTTTACGATAGCTCCATGGGAAAGCTGCAAGTCAAATGCGAAATGCGAATTGCGAAAACCAGAAGCTTGAAATCTCTTCCCGCTTGCGTTTTCCCGGGCCAGGGGCGAGAACGAGAGCGAGAGGAATGGAAACGCTGAGGCTGGCCAAGTCGGATGGATGGGAAAGTTTATGTGCTGGCAAGCGAAATTTATAGCTGCAATTAAATTTAACACGATGCCATGAGATTTAAACGGATTAACTGAATAGTTTTCGACCATCTTAAACTTTCGCGGGGAGAATGAAATCCGTTAGAGGGGCAAAATATCGCGGAGGAGACTACTGGCTGCAGAGAACATTGATATTTTATTGGTTTATCCTGGTTTACTCGCCCGATAAGCGGGCTCTTAACTGTTTTATGAGCTAGCTCTAAAAACTCCAATAAAAGTTGTCTATAAAAGATGAGCACAAGGATATGATTTGTTTGGCAAATTGCCAAAGCCATTAAGTAGTTTATGCAATTGAGATTGGATAATGGATGCTTATAGGCAGAGGAATGGCCAGAATCTTAATGGTACATTTGCCTAATTTAGATTACTATTAGGATTAGCCTCATGTTGTTAAAAAGACCAAACAGATCTTAAATAACAGATCTTGGCCAAAAGATGTCTAAAGGCTAGAGATATTCATATCAGAGATATCGAAAGAAGCTCATCCTAAATCTAGCTTATTGATTTCCCCAAATATTTATAAATAGAAAACAACTTTAACAAATGAAAAGCAAGGTCACAGTAGGGAATTCCCTTGCCTCTTTTCCAGCTCTCCAATATCTTGATGGCTTTCTACTTTGATATTCTGACCGCAAAGAACCAGTCCAATGCCATTAGGTAGTCATTTCCCAATAGCTCCTGGCTGATGGCAACAAATCAAATGGTCTCCCGGGTGAAAATGTCCAACCGATGGCCATAATCAGCCAGAATCTCGGGGGTTTCTGTTAGGAAAACACGGAAAACAAAGTACCGAGAACAACAGGCGAATGTGTGTCTAGGTGCTCATCCCCGTGCTAAGTCCATAACAGACATGTGCACCGGGAGCCTTCAGTTACCTGCTGCATCCTAATGTAATCCATTATAAAGGACAACAGTAAGCCAACGTCACTTACCCCTTTCCCCATATTTACACGGCCAAAGAAACTTCTTTAATTAAGCCGGTTACCTGGCAGCAGTTTCAGCCATGTTTGCACTGCTCCTCAGGTAACACTCAACCGGCCTCAGTTCCCCTGACACTTTTTCTAGCTTCCTTGCATTTCTTCCGTGTTTCAATTTCAATTTCGTTTGCCGAAATAGAAATAGAAATGGAAAATGGTAAAATACAATCCCAAATGTCTACCAAATATTTATTTCCACAACACCTCAAGTCTAATGTAGCGCCAAAATGCTGGCCAAAAAGTTTATGGCACTCAACTGGCCAGCGGTTTTGGCTGTAGGGTATGTGTACCTCTATTATGCCTCTAAATGGGAGATCTGAGCAGCGTGGGAAGTCAGGGTAATTTATTAAGGAAAATGCAGGAATATAAAAGAACATAAATGTGGGGAGTAAAACTAACACAGGTGTATTTAAATTTTAGTTTATTTTCCCAAAAAAGAAATAGTAGAAAAAATACATAAACAAAAGTGAGAATATTTTCTGCATAAAATTTAAATACTGGTTGCATTTTTAATCAAATTTGTTATAAACAGGTTCCTTTTGGATCCAATATATATATTCCCTATTTATCTGTAACCACCCACCTTTAGCCTCAACTTCAATTACTGCCAACTGCCATTATAGTTCGACTTTATCTGCCCTTCCCCTGACCATCCCATACTGTGCCATTTGCCGTAACTATTTTTATCCAAAGCATTTTCCTCTAACTGTGGATTTTCTCTCTATTTTCATTTTTCGCCTCCATTGTATCCTGTATGCTGTTTTTTAACCAACGTTTGATGCATCATTGACACACCGTTCCGCACACCCACGAAAACTCAATGGGAAAACTAAAACAACTAAAACAACAGCTCGTATTCGTGTTACTGCATTGATGGCTACACAGGGATCCAGTGCCAAACGAATTGGGACGAATGCTGGTCGAGTCCTTGTCAGAACGGCGGGACATGTGTGGACGGTGTGGCCTACTACAATTGTACGTGTCCGGAAGGATTTTCTGGTAAGTGTGCCCCATGCTATCTATCCGCGGGTGTTTCTATCTGTGTGGATGGGTGTCTGTGTGTTAGAGTGGGTGTGCGTGTGGATGGGTTTTCCTGATGGAGCCGCCGTGCTGCCTGAATGCGGTTTATTTTTGGGGCCACCAGCATCCAGCTGGAATGCACGAAACTAAAACGCTGCTCATGCACAGGAAGAAAATGTTGGAAAATAAAATTAATATTTTAGAAAATCTTAAAAACTCTTTAAAAGGTAATGTGTGGAAAGTTTCTAAGGAAATGTATTTTTAACTCAAAATTTTATTAAAATATTTAATTTTATTTACTTAGTTACTAAATATCATCAAAATTTTCCAAGAAAGAAGTTTTTCCCTCACTTTATTTTGACAAATAGATGCGGGGTAGAAAAGTGGAAAAAAAAGGGTTATGCAGCAAAGTGGAGTGGCAAGCCAGTTGAGTGGGTGAAGTTCCTCTTCCGTTCCACGTGCGAAATGTATTTTTATTAAGCCAACATAAAAAACTCAGTCTCGCTTGGTTTGCACTTGGTCGAGAGCCTGAGACAGAGATCCCCCTGGCCAACGAAAGCTCTGGCAAATAGAGGAGGAATTCCTGCCACACAGGATTCTCTTTTGGCCCCCAAACGTATTTGTAAAATTTACGCGGCTCGGAGAAAAGGGCGAAATAAAAATATAACATACAATGGTAGTTTTTACTTATTTCCCCGGCATTTGCTCACATCTGTCTATTCTTCTTTTTAACGCGTCCTTCGAGAGAGTGAGAGAGGGGAGCGGGGGAAATCCAAATATAATATAGAAAAAAGCAAAACGAAGGGAAAATAGGGAGTCATTGAAGTGCAGAAGCCTTTTATACCCTTAAAACGTCGTTGACTTCCCTGGCAGAAGTGTTTACAAGAAGGACTTTCAATGGTCTAGGTTATTTGCTATTACCATTGCTATTTAATAGACTGAAAGGATATAGAAATGGATTTGAATGTCATAGGAAGAAGCATAAATAATAAATATATATTTTTTACCAGCTTTAAGTATTAAATAATCAAAAGAAAGCTAAAAACTTTTAAGAAAAAAGGTTAAAATTTGCATTAAGATTCTTAAACCCAAAATCAGAACCTCCATCACCCATCTTAGAAAGGGCATCTAAAAAGAAACTTAGATGATCAAAGCTGAGCGAGAAAAACGCTTTGAGAGATCTCCAAAGGCGTTAGCACCAAGGCAATCCAAGAAGGGGAAAAGGAAAGAAAGAAAATGAGGAAAAAGTGGAAATGGGAAAAATGGGAAAGCCGAAGCTGGCAAACCAACTTTAATGTTGTCTATTGTGGTAGTCAATGTTGGGTGCTTAACTTGCCACTTACCACTCCGTATCAGAGTGTGTGTGTGTGTGTGCGAGATGTCTCTGTATGTGTGGCAAGTACGAGTTTCTGTGTTGGCCAAGTACGGAAGTCTTAGCATGAATGTATCTAATGTTCATCCTTTTGGCTTCGTGTACGTCCACACATAAACACATTTACTTATGGTACGTGTGAGAAGCACTTAGTGTCTGTCCATATATTTTCCTTTTTTTTCCCTTTTTTTCTTTTTGCCACCCCTTTTCAGTGCACAAAGTTGACTTTATAAAATTTAGTGAAATTTATAGCCAACGTACATAGGTGTATCAACGTTAGACTAAAACCGAAATACAAATTGCCGAAAATTTGTTCGGAAACTTGGCTGATGAGCTCAACGAGAGTGGAACAGCAGCTGAACAATCAGGCAAAGGCAGAGATGGCTAAATGATACGAATGAGCCAAGAGGGACTTTTACAAGCAGACCAAAGTCATTGACCAACTCTTTCGGGCCAAAGGAGTCTTGGGAATAAATTACTAAGTTTGCCCGGTACATGGGTTACATGTGTTTTCCGGCTGGTTTACTGCAGACCAATTGAAATAATGGAAAAGAGAATTGTGGTTGATTGAAAGTTTTGTTTTTATATGAAAGTATCTCTCTGGAAGTTATCAGAAGAAGACCTAATTACTTATCTATGATCAAGGATTTTCTGAACCAAATTATAAAGATCATGATCAATCCTATCATACTTCATGATAATGTCCAATTATCTTAAATAATCTGAATAAAAATCGTATATAAATGCTAACTCATACCACCCGTTTAGCCCCTTTGCCTCCCCCATCGCTGAACAACTTTTATCTCTTCTGCAAACGAAACAATTGCATTAATTTAACATAAATAGAGCGGAGCAACGAACGCAGCCAAACAAAGGCCCACAAAGCATAAGCACTGCAAATGAAATCAACACAAAAACAAATCAAATTATGCACTGCAATCCCTGTTTTCCCATCTTTTCCACCGATTTTTCCACACCAAAACTAAGCGATTCCATTGCAAATTGCTCTCCGGCTCTCCGAAACAAAAAAAGACAAGACCAAATGTAAATAGAGCGCAAAAAATAAAATTGCATAACAAATTCAGAGCATAAAAAAACTATGGAAAGCGAAATATGCTTTCAGCTAAGGCAGCCGCAAAAAAATATATATTTTATATATACAAACACACTCATATATAATAAATAGATTTCTTTTTTTGGCCAAAAGCACGCGAAATGTAGGAAATGAAGCTATAAACTGGGCAAAGAGACGACCCCAAAAAATGCAGAAAAATTCAGGGAAATTTTCAAAATGAAATGCAGTCTGTGAATGGGAGTCTAAGGCAAAACAAAGCGAAAGTAACGGATGGAAAGAGACCAGCAAAAAGGTGGGCGGAAAAGCCCGATGGAAAATGGACAGACGCCTAGGGGCATTATTTAACCGCTCATTGAGTTTTCGGGGAAAGCTTTCACCTTGGCCAAAAGCAACCCACCACCTCACTTTCCCCTATTATAAAAAAAACCAGCAAATGCAAATGAAAGGCACCACAAGATAATGTCAGAGCGGGACAGGAGCTTTCTAATTAATTTTATGAGCTTCCTTTGCATTGCGCATATTTTCGCGGCCTTTTTGCCCTATTTATTTTTTGGCTCGTTGGCTTTAGCGTTTATGTTTATGCCCTTTTGAAGTGGTTGCGGGTTATACTAGAGTCTAGTATAATATCTAGGGGATGCGGTCGCCATTTCGCCTGTTCCACTTACCAACTCTTTGTGCCAACTTCTATGACTTCGGGGATATAAACTGGTTGCCAGGACTAAAATGTTAGCTTTGATTGGGTTTTTACTTTTAGTTTCATTGGATTCTCTTTGTCATAAGTGTTGTTTTGACCTAGCTAAATTGGGTTAATTAGGAGAGAAGCTGAAATGAAACAATATTAAAGGTGTTATTAGGTAGAAATATAAGTAAATGAAGTTTGGTAGTTTGTTAAAATAGATTTAAATGTTTGATTTATCTTAAAAAAGTCTGGTTTACTTTGAAATCTCTCCTTTTAAGATCACTTTCCAGATCATTCTTGGCCATAAAGACATTAACAAGTAAATTTACATCACAGCAAGAGCCTTGGAATTCTCTCTGTAAACAGCAATCACCAGAGGCTTAACCTTGCTCTGCTGACACACACACACGCACGCCCCATACCCACACAATCACAATCCAATAACAAAGCATTGGGCATGCCTTTGTCCTTTTGCTCCTTGGCTCCTCAGCTTTATGCAATCATTGCAGCCACCAAGTGCAAAGTGTAGGGAAATGAAAAATAGAGAAAGATGGGTGAGGGGTGAAAAACCGCTTGGCTTCATTGCAGCGCGAAAACAATAGGCAGGGGGGGGAATGGTGAAGGCGATGGTTGGATTCTGCAGGATGGAAGAAGGTCTTCCCGGGCCTATTCACCATTGAATTTTCACATTTCACATTCATGCAAATGCAGCAAATCAACAATGAAAAAATAATAAAGGATTGCATTTGAATGTGGTCAAAACGAAGGGCAAAATGCTCTTTAGATGGTAATCAAAATGAACAAAATGTAATATTTTATATAATAATATATTATAAAAAAAAAGAATAATATTTTTAAATATATTTTTCCTGCTTATAAAATAGTTTGAAATATTTTTTAAATATTTTTAAAATATTTTTTTCTTTAAAGAAAAATCAAATTGAAATCTTATAAGCTAGAAAATAAAAATCCTTCCAAGGTTAATTACGAAAAATATATAAATTTCACCTTGGTTAGCCAACTCATTAGGGTATATCTACCCTAGATATACATCCATGAAAATGCATTCAAACTGCAGCAATGCAGTTTGTTCCACGTCTCCCATTTTTTCACAGAACAGTTTTCATTCTGTGTTTTGTGTGTTTTTTTCCTACTCGCTCTCACTTGATATTTTATCGTAATTTTCCTGGGCAGCAGGTCCTTTTTTTTAGGACTGCTTCATCAGCGGGTTTTGAGCGAACGGCTGGCTGGCTGCGTGTGTGTGCATAAATTTGCACCTGTTCACCTGGTCGCTCTATATTTTTGCGCGTTCGGTGGCAATTTGCACACATTTTCACGTAGCCAGGAAGATACATGCAATCAAGCAGCTGGCTGGCTCAGTCGCCGGATCATTCATCGATTCATGGCTTCATTTGGCCTCTTTCTTTGCCTTGATTTTTCCGTCACCCTTTAATCAGAGTCCCATGAGCTTTAATTCCCCCGAATATACCGTTAAATATTCAACCAATTTTCAATCATATGACTCAGTGATTCGCATACATTTTTCATTTCAATTACCCAGTGGAAAATGCCAACCAAATATATATATATATTCGTGTTTATAAATAGAATTCGAACACAACGGTTTCTCATTTCGCCGAGGTGGCTAATCAATGGTCCTTTGGGACTTAGTTTCGCTGTTCATTTCTGTTGTTATTTATATGCGACAGCAGCATAAAATATTCATGGCTTTATTGATTTTATAATGTCAGCCTGCGGGTTTGATGAACTTTTCACATGTGCCCTGCGAGGAAGGTGGAGATATATTTTTGTTTGCATTGTCACGGGTCCTGGGATTAGCCGTGTAATCGAATACGATTAAGATTTTTATTTGCCCGCACACAACAGATGTGATTAAACCAGTTTTCTGTGGCAAAAAAGGCTTAATTGGCTTTAAATAACAATCAGCAGAGTGCATTGATGGCTAAATCAAATTACACAACCTAATTGGGGGTTTAAATCTACTCAAAGAAATGCATTGATTTTGAACACCTTAGAGTATTAATATCAGGCTATCAATCAAAATTAGCTTAGCAAGGAAGTGATATTGAAATGGTTTCTTGCACCTCATCAAGTTTCCAAACACCGAAGAACTTCTCCTGTAAAACCAATAGCTGGGCAATCCTTAAATCAAAGCTGGTAAAATGTTGTAAAATCTGCCATTAATTAAACAAGCTAACCGTTTTGTTAGTGTAACAGCGTGTTTTAGCTTTTCCTGTGAAAATGAGCTACGCTTTCCCATTTCCTTGGATTCCCTTTGTCAAGAATTTCTCCCTAGAAAAGGAGAAAAAATCGAAACTAAGCAATTGGATGAGCAACAATGCGCACCACAAGACATTCAAGTGCAGGCCAACCACTACACATCAAGAGTACACTTGAAGAAAAATTTTATAAAAATCTTTCTTCAAATCAAAAAATGATACTGCATCAAGATATTTATTTAGATTTCACTAATAAATTTTAGTCACTTTTTTAGTTTTATTTTTGATTTAAAATGCTTTTGAGATAGTTAACACTTTTTTTCCACGTGTAGATATGCGAATTGAAATTGCTAGATTGCGAGTGACATGAATTGCTCGGATTTTCGACTCGGGGGCTGGTCTGAGTGAATGGATCCCGTGATTAGTTTTCCCGTCGCCATCGAGAGCAGCCCAGAATCGGTGGCGGGAGATGGAACCCAAAGTGCATTTCATTGCTCACTGTCGCAGGTCGCAGGCAGCGATTTACGGGCAATGGATTTGAAGGAAGCTGGCCACCCCCAAACCCCTAAAACCACAACCCCCCCAATCCAACCCCACATTCAATGATAATAGATTGCTCTGGCTGGGGATTACTTTGGCATACAAATTGCGGGAGAGACGTGGCTCTCATCCTAACAAGCTAAATACTGTTCTTAGTCTTTGCTAATTGAAGATCTACGAAATGGAATAAACCAATATGTTAAAAGGATTTACTTTTGGGTCAAATTGACCAACTTAATGGAAAGTGTGTCATTATATTTAAGAAGTTCTGTGAAGCAAACAGCAGAACAAATTCCCATATCAGTTTAAATTCCATTTCTTGATGTCCAAAACAAGCTTCTTGGGTATATACATTTTTGATTCTTACTTTATAGATACTAAAAGCATATCCTGCTGTTCATTGTTCCGAATTCCAGCTAGCTGTTAATTATGACCTAAACCCAATGCTGATCTTTGATAGACTGCCTGCACTTGCAGGCTGGCTGTGCACTGACTCGTTCATTTATGCATTCATTCAGAGATTGCCGAGGTAGCTGCAGAAAAGTATCTGAATATGCGAGCATAAAATGCAAACGAAATGTGCAATATTTTCAACTCATGCACCTCTAGAAACGATGCCAGATTTCGAATGCACACATGCCCTGCATTCTGCATTCTCCCCTCAGCCTTTCTCCATGTCTCACAATATATGTGTATAACTTCCTTGGGTGAAGGTAACAAGCAAATAAGAAGCACAAAATGTGTGTGCAGATAAAATTCAAATTTCAATTTGTGCATCGACTGGAGGAGGGCAAATCAAAAGCACGAGCTTGCCCCAAGGACTGAGAGAGGGGGCAAATGGCCATGTTTATTGTGACTCGAAGCCAAAACAAATGTTCGTACCTTGTTGCACAAATGTTTACAGTTCGCTTCCAGCAAATAATAACAAAAAAAAAAGTGAATATACATAACAAGAAAACGATGAAGAGGCAGCACAAGCAGCATGACAAGCATCAATAAAGAAAAATGGGAACGACGGCTAAGGTCGAGGGGAGAGGTCATTGATCAAACAAAGAACTGAAAGAAGTTAGAAAATGTTGAAATTTAATTCAAATTAAATAATTTTATAAATTAAAACATCATTTCAAAAACTTTTTTATAACAAATGAAATCTCTCTAAATCGGTAGCCCACAGCGACATTTATCAATCTCAAATATTTTGCAGACCGAAACTTGATCAATATTTTACCAGCACTTAAAATTTGATTAATGGTTTATTTTGTCTATCTTTTTCGTTTCAAATATTCCAACAATCGACATGAAGAATGTCAGAATTGTATGCCTCTCATATTTTTTTATTTTCATTTTCAAATTCCCAAATGGGAAACCGAGGAAAAACGGACAACCAAAGCCCGTCCATTAAACAAAGCAAAAAAAAAAAATGGAAAAAAATGAAAAGATAGGAGGGAAAATTGTGCGTCCAATTCGGAAAAAATTCATTCATAAAACATGCCTCGTAGATTGCGGCAGTGAGTGAAGCATTTTTCGTGCCCACAAAAATGACCGATGCCGCCCTACCTCCTCCCTAACCCCCATTTTCTACCGTAACCACGCACATGGTAAAATAAAATGAAAATCGATTTTCACTTTAACGACTTCACACATTGCAAGGGACAGGGGGTGGGGGGCGAAGAAAAAGTGTTGCCGTGGCCCCACCAAAACCACAAAACGGAGCCAAAACAATGAACAAGAAAAACCAGAAATCATCGTGAATGCATTGAGAAAAGGTAAACTGGTAGAGTGGGCTGCCTTTGGTCTACTGAATTTGGGTTAAGAACTGTGCGTGAGTGGGGTTTTCTGGCTTGGGATTTTCCTGCTCAGTATTCTCCATGCTTTCTGTGTGCTTGACCACTTCCTGTATTTGTGCATGAATTGGAGCGTAATGTGACATTTCATGTGGAGCACACAAGTTGGAAAAAAGAAAGGGGAACTAGAGGAAGAGTTGACCATTTTGGTTCTGTTAGAACTCTGGTGCTACACGTCGTATAAGCACTAAAGTAAGAGCTTTAAGAAAATGATCAACAAAATGTATAAATTTTCAAAGATTACAAGGATTTTATAATAAGTATAACTTGGTATTAAAGAGATATCTTCTGATCACAGAATTCTTTAAGCATTTAAGTAGCAACATTCCTCAAACAAGCTATAAAACTCTACAACAAACATAAAGAAAATTGATATATTTGTAGAATTTAAAAGCCTCAGTACACGTACCCCAACATAAAAATCATAAAGCCAAATGCGATTGCCTCGCTGCGATGGCCATAAACAAATTGAAATGTGCAGCGACTTGATGGCACTTTATGGCCAGAATGGGGGAAATTGAAGCTGTTGCTCGCGCCATGGCAGTGAAATACGAGAAAGTGCCAGCCTGGCTGGAAAATCCATTACTCAATCGAAGAAAGAGTTGTGTGAGCGATAAATTAAAATTCGTTTTTTATGTGGTCCATAGAGCAAGCAAATAATTTATCCAAGAAAGGATATTAAAGAGTTTGATAATTGCAAATGTCTTAAGGAACGATTTAATGGCTTTTGGCTATTGATTGTGTTCAGTCAATTTAATATTAAATTAGGGATCTGTATATAAAATAAAATAGAAATGTTACTAAAATTCCCAAAAATTTAATCAAAGTTCAAACATTTCTAAACCCAAAATAGAAGTTTGTTCTGTTAATTTTGAATTTGCATTCGTTTTGAGAAGAACCTGCATAATTAGCCTCCTAAAATGACAAACAAAACCCGAGACAGCTTCACTCTATTCCCTAGAAGTGTCTAACATTAATAAATTAATCAAAATTAAATCATATTGAAAATGAACATTTGAATGCAAATGAAAATGCCCAGCAGCCTGGAAGTAGGCAATATAAATTCGAACTCAAGACCAAGGGACCATCCATGCTAGGTAGAACCTCCACAGAGCTGAGCTGAAACCCACAAAAGCACACAAAAGATACAAATATACATATTTAAGTGCAAGTCAGAAGATATATATAGTATATCCACACATCATAAGGCAAACAAATGACATCGACTGACATCCTGTACAGCTAGCCAGGATTTTGAGCTGCCTTCTTCGCATTCCGGTACCCCTTTTCGTGTTGATTTAGTGCTTATGCAAATTTAATATATGTTCAGAGCTCCCCCATTTGCATAGACTTACATTATTGTTGCATTATGGCCCAGACAGACAGGACCAGACACGCACATTTATCTTTTATGACCGCTCCGCAGCTGCATTTCTATTTTAGCACTCCTATTTTTATGTCTGTGTGTTTCTGTGAGTTTTAGTTTCTGTCTGCCCATCAGTGTACGTATTTTGTATAATTTATGAGTTCAAGTGATAAATTGTTGCACCCTCCTCCCCCCCAAAAAAAAAACGCCCTCTCAATTGCAGTCCACTTGAATGCAATTTTGTACTTTAAATTAAGAAGATTTCTTCCACGGCTCCCCCTTTGTTCGTTGGCGCATTAATTTGGCCAAAGTGCAGGGGCATTTCCAAGCCGAGTTTTTTGACACTTTTGTTTCGACACTTTGAAGTGCTTTTTTCTAAAAGAGTGAGAAGAACTTTTTCCTCAGAACCAGACAAGATAGAGGCAGCAAGAGGAAACTTTCATGGAGCGCAGACGGGGAAAAAACTTTAAGCATATTTCTCGCCAACTTGTTGCCAAAAAGAGTTTGCCAAGAAGGTGGCAGCGAAACGAAAACAAAGGCCTGAAACTCCAAACGCTGTTCCTATGCCGGGCAAATAAATTCTCAAACTTCAGCCATACAAAATATTTCGCTGGCAATAAATTTTCCAAAAAAGAGAAACGCCCCATACATACAACCAATAAAAATATCACTCATACGCAGCGTTGCACAGGCACAAGCTGAGTTAGGGAGAAAGAGATTCTCCCTTCAACCTCCTTCCCCATGGCAAAGATTGTCTGTCTGTCTGGCTGACAGTTGCTGCCTTTTGGCAAAACACTGAGACGAAGTCAACGTCGCTGCAAGTTGTTGAGCAGAAAATTGAAAAGTATTTCCAAGCATTTGTTGCCATTGTTGGCTGTCAAACAAGATACCCCCAGCAGTGCAGATTGCTCTATCCAAAAATCTGGGCATTTCGCTTGTTGCTTTGGGACTAAGCTTAATTTTGGCTAGAGATGAATATCTAATACTTCCTCAAACACCTTAAATGGAATCTAACCTAAGAGATTTATGGATTTTTAGCCCCTGCTATCTTATTTTAAGGAAGTTAATACTAAAAAAAGAATATTTTATTGCATTTTCTGGCTTGTAAAGCTTTAAAGACTCCTCTGTATCACAAATATAAAACACTTTTCAATACTTACATCAATCAAAGAAGAGTATCTGTGAAAAGTTCCCTCTTTTTACTAACTTTTATCCCATTTCCTTCACCACTTCGAGCTCAGAGTTTGAAGGACAGCTACAAATTTCGGCATGTGTGTTTTATATCCAGTGTGGCTTGGCTATAGATGTTCGTGTGCGTGTAAATATCCTTTTGAATTGTTTATATTGCTTGCAACCAAATCAGCACTTGTAGGGTTTGTTTTGATTGCCATTGATGCGCTTGTATCAAAAACTTTCCACTTTCTTATATTCTCTCTCCTCCACTTTTTTTTATTCTTGATAAAAAGTAGAGAGATAGTTTGAAAGGACTAGGATCGATGGGAGAGAAAAAACAGGAATTTCCATTGGCAAATATAATGAAAGGTCATTCAATTGCACTTCAATTGTGCGCACTTGTTTTGAGCGAAATATCAAAGGGCAAACTGAAACTGAATCCAATGAAAGAAAAGTTTATATAAGAGCTGCTACCTAAAGGATAAATGAAAATGGAAACGATGCTGTTTTAGTTATTAATTAAAATGGCCTCACATCCTTATAACCTTTGAAACGAATACATTTCTCTATCAACAATTAATTAAAATAACACATTTCTTCACAGAGTTTGCTAACGAATTTTAATTAAAATTCATAATCTGAAACCGCACAGCAATTAGTCTTTGGTAAAATATGTTAAAATCTGATTGCATTTGGCAAAAAAAAAATAATTAAACCTCAAAACAATATCAATATCAGATAGAAATAAATTAATTCCATACGCCAAAGAACTTTGGCCTGAAAACATAAATATTTCTAATAATTAAAATCCAAAATGCCATTGGATGGCTCTTTGACCTTCGAACTTAATCACACCTCTTTCCTTTCACTTTATTTCAGGATCTAGTTGCGAGGAGAACGTCGACGAATGCATGTCGAATCCCTGCCAGAATGGAGGACTTTGCCGGGACAGAACCAATGGCTACATATGCACCTGCCAACCGGGCTACCTGGGTTCCCACTGCGAACTGGACGTGGCTGTCTGCGAGACAGGTGAGTCGCAATCTGAATGATAAATAGCCAAAACATGGCAGTTGGTTTGCGGTTTTCAGAGATAGAAATTTGTTAGGAATTAGAAAAACATAAAACTAGCTTTTCCCCATTTAAATATGAAACAAGAAAGGATAAACATTATTTTAACAAATTATCCAATAAATTAAATTCTACTTTTGTTTAGAAAATAATATACAAATTAAGCTTTAATCTTCTTTTCTATCAAAATCTTCCACCTTTAACCAGGAACCGGAGCCCGTTGCCAAAATGGTGGTGAGTGCATCGAGGGTCCAGGACTGGAGTTCACCTGCGATTGTCCCGCAGGCTGGCATGGTCGAATTTGCCAGGAGGAGATCAATGAATGCGCCTCTTCGCCCTGCCAAAATGGTGGAGTCTGCGTGGACAAACTGGCGGCCTACGCCTGCGCCTGTCCCATGGGTTATACGGGCATCAATTGCGAGGAGGAGATTCTCATTTGTGCCGACAATCCGTGTCAGAATAATGCATTGTGTCTGATGGAAGAGGGTGTGCCCACATGCTATTGTGTTCCCGATTACCATGGCGAAAAGTGTGAGTTCCAGTATGATGAGTGCCAATTGGGTCCACGCTGCATGAATGGTGGTGTTTGTATCGACGGAGTGGATACCTTCTCTTGCTCATGTCCTCCACTCCTAACTGGCATGCTATGTGAGTGCTTGGTGGTGGGTGAGGAGTCCTTGGACTGCAATTACACGGCACCAGCTACGCAAGCGCCTCCAAGGAGAACCACCACCACATCTACAATGGCCCCACCCACAGTGAGGCCAGTTACTCCGCCGGAGACAACGGTACCGCCTACTGTATCCGAAGAAGTAGAGGTTGTTATAGTTACCACAGCTGCCCCTTCAGAAGTGGCAACCTCTGTGTCATCCTCATCTACTTCTTCTTCATCAGAGGAAGCTGTTTCCGTGGAGATAAAAGTGCCGACTATGGCTCCGCCAGAAAGCGATAGTCATAGCATATCCGTAGAGCAGACCACTGTCGCTCCAGCACAACCTGAACCGGAATCCGAACAAGAACCAGAAACTAAGCCTCAACCACCACTCGAATCGGAATCCCAATCGGAAACTGAAGAGGAAATAATACCGGGCACCACAGCTCGACCGCCAACTAGTAGATCCTCCAGTTCCAGTTCCTCAGAAGAATCACCCAGCATCTTTACAACTTTACCACCTTTGCCGGGAAAATCTCAAACCTCTTCGTCGGCGGAGAGTTCGGGTGAAGTGGTTACCTCCGAAGAATACACAACCGTACCGCATTTCGAAGTTAGTGGCAGTAAGAGCGAGAGTGGCAGTGAAGAAGTCACCACATTGCGACCCACTGCAGCACCCAGCATCACAATCTCAGTGGATGTCACCTCATCCAGTAGCAGTAGTTCCGAATCCGTGGAAATAGTCACTACACCAGCTCCAATTTTTGTCCAGAGAGTGACAACGATCGAGACTAGCATTACCATTGACTATGTGACACCAACACCACCACCGTCGGAAGCCACCACCCAACGGGTGGTGCCTGTGCCCAGGCCCACATTTGCCACAGAACCACCGTTGGATGTGATGGAAACCACTGCCTCTACGCACCACCTTTGGACGGAGGTGCCCACCACGGCGGCTCCTTTCTTCACGGAATATCCAGCCGAAGTTCTGATCACGACACATCGAACCAGTGCTGGCAGATTTACCACAGTCCAACCACCTGTTGAGGCTACCACCACCTCACCCACTGATGATTCATCCATGGAGTTACCCACTACGCATATGCCCCAAGTTGTGATAACAATATTGGATCCAAATGCCAACATTCCTCCTCTGATCACAACCACTGAATTGCCAACGACCCATCATCACCACCACCATCATCATCACCAGGAACCGGAGGGTACCACTCTGCAGCCTCTCGAAGAAGACGAGCATCATCATCATCACCACCACCATCATCATCATGATGATATCACTACTCCACCGCCAGTGGAGATAACTACAGGTCCTCCCTTGCAAACGGAGGATTTGGTTGGTGTACAGGAACCCGCTGTAGTGACCACAGAAGGGCCTGTTATTCCGGCCGAGACAACAGTGGTTCCAGCAGTGACGGTGGTGCCCGTTACGATTGTACCACTTGGAACTCCAGCACCACCTGCCACGGCAGTTCCTATTCCTCCAGCAACTACAGCTCCTCCAACTCCTCAAGCTACTGAGCCGCCAACAGTGGCGCCAACACCGCAACCTACTGCTCCACCCACTCTACCCCCGGTAACCCTTCCTCCAGTGACCCTGCCACCGCCAACAATACCACCAACTCCTCCATCCACGCAATCTGCACAAACTTTACCGCCACCAACGTCGGCCATAAATGTTTACACCACACCCGAGGGACCACCAACGGCCTCCCAAACGAAGCCATCGGTCACGGAGAGCAGTGAGGAAGTGGAGGGCGCCAATACGGTTTCCACTGGCGGAAGGGGATCCGGAGGTGTACCCGAGGAGAAGGCAGGCGATGTCGATTGCATCAAGCTGGGCTGTTACAATGGCGGCACCTGCGTAACCACATCCGAAGGATCGCGGGTAAGTTGAAAATTGAAAAAGAACACTCTAAAATATTTATAATTTAAGAAATGATTTTAGAAAAAATATTTTTAAGAAGTAGTAAGAAAGGTAGAAAACCTTCAAAAGGTCCTCTTATATGTTCTATAATTAGAAACTATATTAATTTGAAGGTTTTTCCAAGGCATTTTCCCTTAGTGCAGGCAGACTGAGTAGGTCAATCGATAGGCACCCCGGCACTTTGGCACCTTAACGAAATCGAGTTGTTTGTTCGATGCCAAAACAACCAAAAACTAGGTAAATGGAGGCATCCTAGGGAGCGGATTGTGTGTGAGCAGTCAACTTCACAATTTTCAACCCCATTGAGCTGCTAATTGGCCGTGTTTGGAGTTGTGCGCCTCCGGGTTCCGTTTTCACTCCCATTGCCATTTCCACCTCCACGACCATTAATAAGTCATTTAATATGCCAACTAGAGCTGCAATAGGTAAATTTACAAATTAATTGGGATGGAAGACAGACTATACTAATACCTTGTATGGAAAAGGTTTTAAGTTTCTGTTTCTTCCATAAAAATAGTTCTTAATTTTACAATGATACCCAACTACAAAAGAAGTCTTAATAAGCAACCTCTCTCTCCTCTTCCCTCCAATAATTTATAACAACAAAAGCATTTCTGTTGCTAGGTTCCAAGTCTAAGTCCCCTGTAAATTTAAGTTTACAATCTCAGAAATCCGAGAGGCTTTAATCAAACCCTTTAATAGGATACTCGGCCAAAGGAGAGCATTAGCATTACCTACTCAAGAGCCACACCCACGAGCAATGCACTCACTACTGGCGCCAACGAAATTTGCAAATTGACAACCTGAAAGGACCTCACAGCTGGCCACGTACAGATAGAGATGCAGATACAAGTCCACAGATGTGCACGACTCATACATAAATAATCACGTATATATATGCTAGGCTGACTGTAAGAGGAGGAAGGTTCCTGTAAGCAGATTTTCCAAGCAGATTGTTACTAGGCCAACGGACAGTGAAGTAATCGAAATTCTTGTTAGCTTCCTTCCGTTGGAAATAATTTCAAGGCATTTGTACAAATTACCTATCTAGAATTTATGGCTGCACATTTATAATGCCTTAATCCGTTTGGCTTGGATGAAAATTATGAGAGTGTCTAAAAGTATGCTATAATATATTTTCAATCCTTTTGAAAGTGATTTCTGACATTCCACTAGAACTTATATCAAAAGTAACATCAAAACTCAACTGGTTCTTATCAAAATAAAACAATCACATCTTTTTTCTAGCACATTTCCGGTGAAAACTTTCGCAACAGAGGCAAACCTTCTACTCTCACTTTATCTTACATTTTTGTAGTTCTCAGAAATGCCAATTGCTTGTGTAAATGAATAGTTAAGAACTTTGGAAATAGCAGAAGCATTAAAAACAGGAACATTTCAGGTAGAAAATCAGACAGCAAATAGCAAAATGCCGGAGAAAATGTTCGACAAGCGAAACCACAAAGGCCTTTCCCAGTTGCTCTAGTTACTGTAACGACCAACAATGGCAATGCCTCCTGCCAAAGTATGCCTATTCAACTATTTATGAAAATACTTGTGGTAATTTTAGCTTTCACCCCCAAAAAAAGAGTTGAAAATGCCCAAAATATGACGGAACGAGGGGAGGAGAAATCGAATTTTGGGCCTTGATGCCAAACTGAAAGCCATTAAATGTAACAAGCAAACATCCACATTTACCATAGAGGCACGAAACAAATTTCCAATGTCTACTAATAACCGGAAAATTGTTCACAGATGATTGGATGATATTTTCTGTTTCCTATTTTTTTTTGTTTAATTTTGCCTGGAAATTGATAATGGACGAGGGGGTGGCTTGATTACGGATAATGCCAGCTTATTGACATTGATTCGTGAAATTTACACAATATCCAAAGGATTAAAAATGCTAGAAATTGATGTTTAATATGCGGTTTTCCATTTATTATGAACACAAGGTTTCATTTATATTTTCAACTCAGCTAGAGGCAATGCAACATACAGGTTAGTTCATAAAAATATTCACATGGCTAACAAATTCTCACCAATCACCAAGTAATTTTCACCCCTCAGGCTTTATCTCATTTAATATTCAGTCCCTTTGAAGGTCAGAGGGTGTTGAAGTGACCAAAAACCCCGCCACGCCATATCACCATTAATATGTCAGCATGGAGTCCAGCGTTAGCAAAATTAGCACCTCATGCATTTCCAGTTTTTTACGACCGAAACGTGAGGCCAATATGACCTGAACATTTTTTGGCTATATATATTAACCCACCAGCAAAGTTTATGAGGAAGGTGTTAACATAGCAGCATCACTGCAGGCAAATTTTATTTTCAAATTAGGTTAGCATGTAATGTTTTTTAATTATTTTCAGATTAAAAGAGATTTATTTTTTCCAACTGATTCAGAACTAATCTTGTGACTGTTAGCTAAATCTAAAGCCACTCTTTAGACTCAAAATTTAACAACACTAATGCAACTAATTTATGCTTCAGACCCAGTTAATGAGTTAACAAAGCCAGCTGGCAATTTATTTATAAACTTTCGGTGCAGCCACACGAACATCTCCAAAGTGTACCTATGAATCACAGAGACACTCACCCAAAGGCGGGTGGGTAAATTAGGAAAACCGAAGAAAAACAAGGGGGGTAAGAGGAATGAAAAGCCACCCCGTTGTGGCCAACATGCTAACAAGGAAAAAATGAAATTTTCATAATAAATTTACGCGCTCGAGTGAGTGACACTACACCGCAGGATGAATTTGTTATTTTGCAACAAACTCACTCACTCTTAGTCTGGGCCAAGGAAACAAAAGTTAATAGTGGAAAAGGTGTAAGCGGAAATTATTTCACAGTGCATAAGCCACTTTATTGTTGCCAAGTAATTTAACTAACTGCACAAACACTCTCAGCAGTCCGCACACACTCGAGGCTTTTGTTAATTTTCAGATTCGCCATTTTTGTGCACTGATAAAAATATTGAAAATACGTAGGGTGGGTATAGAAAAGGAAATATACAAAGTATATATTTAAATTTTAAACCATAAACAAGGATTTTTAGTAATTTAATGAGTTTTTTAAGAGATAATAAAATCATATTTTCTCTCAGTGCTTTTTGATTTGTCACCTCTTTCCATTTCGCCTTTTGCATTTGTATAAAGAGACAAAAAACAGGCTGGCAGAGCGACAGGCATACACTTACATATGTCAGCTGTCATATTGGTTAGGCGAGAGTGTAGGGAATACGGAAGGAAAAGTTCGGTAGGAGGGAAATAGGAGGCGTGGCATGAGAGAAGTGCAGGCAAAGTGGCACTCGCACTCGGCGAAAGTCACTCGTAAAGTGGCATTAAGCACATTTCAAGTGCTACCCCGCCGAGTTTTTGGTTTTGGAAAATGTTTGCCTGGCTTCTGGCACCGACCTCGACGCTTCGCCCGCTCCACCCCCCCATATTTTCCACAAACGCACTCCCAATTTTCCCGAGGCTCAGTGTGTCTACTGTCTGCATTGCGTTGCTTTTGCCACCGCCAATGCCACTAATGAAAACTTTGTTGAGCCCTTTTAGGCTCCTCCATCACCGCCACATGTCTCTCTGACTTAATGCGTCCTCCGCAGACTCTTTTTCCCCATTTCCCTAGGTTTCTCCACCCCCCACACCCCTTCGCATTTGCCAACGTCCTTCAGGGTCCTTTTGAAGAGTGCACTTCAGTTATTCAGACCATTCCAGGCATTTGCCTGTTGACATTTCCAAAGGCGTGTTACAATTAATTTCCAACTGGCCAACGCAATGAAATGAAAATAGGGGAAACAGGTGGAAATGTTTGGTCAGCCAAAGACTTTAGAGATTCTGTGGGAAATAATCCAGCTGCTGAAGTTGAGTGTCTTAAATTTGCTTTGAGAGATAACAGTATTAGTTCCCCAGGAGCTTAAGGAGAAAAAGTTTTTACTTAATAAATTATTTTTAAAATGATCTTAAGAAAAACTTGTTTGAGAACCGAAACTACCAAAATATCATTTATATTGCCAACTTACATACATTTACACTCAATGCAGTAACGTTTTTTCAAAGTTTTTCAGTTCAAAAATATTTAAATTTTAAAACAACCTTTAATAAATTTAAACTTAATCCCGAGAATATTTATATTTTCTCTCGTCAGGGCAGACTCATTTCCGTTTTTTTGCTCCAACCAACAACCACACATATTTGAATCTTAAATCTGCCACATGTTCTCCCTTGGCTCATTTTCGTAACATATTATTTTACTTTTTTTTCTGGCCCTTTTTTGTTTTTGGCCAACATTCATTATGCGCCAGCCAAATGCCGCAAGGTCAAAAGCTTTAATTAAAATGTTTCCTGTAAGCAGGGCATGCGAGTTGGGGCACAAGCAAAAAAAAAAACCAAGAGAGAATAAACAGCGTCGACTAAAATTGTGCGAAAAACTAAATTCAGCCCACTGGGCCACAACCTCGATACTGAAATACCACCCACAAATGCAGCTTCATTTGTCTAACAAGAGCTGTACCAACGCCAACTTGGCCAAACAAAAAACAAAAGTTGGCGTATAAACTTCCAGCAAACACTTCAAATAATTGTTATGAAAGGAGCTTGGCATCAAAAGTTTTCAATATTTTTTCAAGTGCAGGCAAAAATTGAGTTGCCTCAAAAAGTATGCTATGAATAAAATCAGTGATATGAGAAGTGAGATTTGCAAAGGAAAACATCCTCACAGCAGGAACCGATTTTAATGTTTTGTGCTGGCAAACAAAACCGTGGGAATAAAAACAAGAACAGCGGAAATTTGTTGCGAAGAGGAAGAAAAAATGGTTGGCTAAGAACATTATTCGCTTAAGCCTTTACCACTGGTTTTTCGAATATCCGTTGAACAGCGGGGCTGTTGCAAAAGGGTTTTCATTTTCCTGTCGGGTTATAAAAGACTGAATAATGTCTTTACAGATTGAAAGATTTATGCTACAATTAAGTTTGTGTTCTATAAAAAAATCAAAGTGTTTTCGATATACAATTTTCCTAAAGATGAAGTCCTTTAAAATTTTTATAAACAAGTCATTAAAAAACACAAAAATGAGTTCATTTTCTGTAATGATAGTAATTGCCCTTATGAAACTTCAATAAAGAACATCTGCTGGTAAGGAGAAGTTTTTTTAGAGAACACCTACGCAACTCCTTGGGGCAACTACCAACATATGGATAACTTCCCATTAATGGGTTGTCATTTTACCACCCCCTAACGTGACTGTTCCGTTGCTTCACCTTATTCCCCCGATTTCCGGGCACTTCATTTGCCCAATTTCAAGGGGGGAGAAGTGAAAAAATCAGAGAAAAGTTTTTGGTAGCTGCGCGTGGTCTTATTCGTTTTTCCCTTTCCCTTGACTCCTGTTTTCCTTCGACCCGCCTGTTGCAGTTTTCTCCATGCACTTCAAGGGTCCCTTGGTGCGGCATAAATTATTAAAACCAGGACAATGGACAAGTCGAAAAGGAGCATGACGGGGAAGTCGATGCCACGGAGAGCCAAAAAGTTAATTCATATTACTTTTCAATTTATTGGCGTTTTTTCGAACGTGCTTTTCTTGAAAAGCGACCAAAAGTCGTCGCTATTTCATAGTAGGGTGGGCGCAGAAATTAAATTAAAATTGTTCAAGTTTCGCTCCGCTTTTTGGTGAGACTTTCCTATTAGTTGTAGAGAAAGTTCGGGCTGTAAATACTGTAGCTACTCGAAAATATTTTCATTGAGGGGGGACTTAACAAATTTGTATAGAATAAAAGTACCGCCAAACAAAAAATGTGTCTCTTATTTATTTAAAACTTATTAACTACATTTTCCTTTCAGTGTGTCTGCCGCTTTGACCGCCAGGGACCTCTTTGCGAGCTGCCCATTATCATCCGGAATGCCGCCTTCTCTGGCGACTCTTATGTGTCGCACCGCATCTACAAGGACATCAGTGGCCACGAGTCCTTGGACGCCGTCCTACCGATGCATATCCAACTGAAAGTGCGAACGCGAGCCACCAACGGACTGATCATGCTGGCGGCTGCTCAGGGTACCAAGGGGGGTCACTACATGGCCCTCTTCCTGCAGAAGGGCCTTATGCAGTTCCAGTTCTCCTGCGGATTGCAGACAATGCTGCTGAGCGAACTGGAAACGCCGGTGAACACGGGCCACGAAATTACCATTCGAGCTGAGTAAGTGAAAAGTGTCGACCACGAAATGCAATTACGCATGTACATACACAAAGAGAAAAACTTAGACCTAAAGAGCGTTTCGATTTAAAAAGATTACAATTTTGGGTTAAAGTAAACTTTGAGATGGATTTTTGTTCAATCTCCAAAATGATTCCTTATTGAATGTATTTCTCTCAGTGCAGGTATGAAGGTATGTAAGTAAGGGTCACGCCCTCAGCGTACAGATGATTGAGAGGGGCGGCGACGACTGCCGGCATGTTAATTAACTTTTTAAACTGCCCAAGCGGCAAGGTGGAGGTCAGCATATGGGTCAGTGTCAGGGAGCAGGCGGTCAGGACATTGCCCATTAAACGAATCCCATTTCATCGTCCGCTCGTCCACGGAGCCCACAAATTAAAATGCTTCAAGTGTAGAATAAATTGCAGTTTTTTAGCTTCCCTCTTTCTGCGCCCCGACCTTCCATTTTCCCATTTCCTTGGACATTAAATCCCGCGGGTCTTCCACTTTCCACCATTCATGCGTAATTAGTTGAAGATTTTTTTCTGGTTTTCTGTTCTTTTTCTTCTTGTTTTCCTTTGGTTGAAAATTTAATTTACCGCATTTGCAATGCTCACAACGGAATTTCAGCGTAAACGGGATAAGGGGTTGGACTGAAGGGGGCGGACTCGTGCGTAATTAATCGTTTAACTAACATTTCCTGGCCAAAGCCAACACTTGGCAATGTAAGGGAAAAAAGAGCAAATGGACTTAAAACTTATCTAAATATTTTCACTATCGCAGCGTATTAAACTGGAAATGGAGGAAAATAAAGTTTAAATGGGGTTTGGCTGGCATTAGGACTAGGAAAATGGAATAGTTTACTGAGGAGAATATTAAACCATTAATCAGAGAACATTTATTATTACGGAAACAAAATGGTCAAAAATTTGTATAAAAAGTTATTCATTTTTAATATAAATTTTACTTAACAACCGAAAGCTCCAAAAATGCATTCAAAACAAAACAAAAAACCATTAAAAAACCTTTTGGAAATTCAATAATCCAACAATTTTGCACATTTTCAACCTGTTGCCTTGATGGCCATCAAATAGTCCTGCAATATTCAAATGACCAGCACTTAAAGTCATCATTGAATTGTCAGCAAATCAAAAGCCCCAATCATCGGGAAAATCGTTTGTTTACAATTCAGCTGTGAGCAATTACTTAAAAATTGCCATCAAATTGATGGCTTTAACGCATATGGAAAATGACCAAATAATCGTTTTAGGCCCAGTTAAACTTGACTAAGGCCAAAGTCAAAATCTGGGGGAAAAGTGGAATTCCCGCGGCGAATCAAGGATAGACGAAACATTGGCATAAACAGGACATTAAATATATATATATATATATATATATAGTATATATCAAAAAGTAGGACAAAGAGTAAGCGAGAAGGCTGCCCATATAAATAATTTACCACAAGAAGAACAAAAAAACGAAAGTGAGAGGCAGCTAGGGGGACACATTCACATTTTACGACTATCGAATCGACCACAAATTTACTTTTTAGCACTTGGTCCCAGCTCGGTGCGATCCAATGTCCGATGTTAAGGGCTCTCTTGTCCTATATATATGTGCACTGGGGAAAAAAAGTGAAATTTAGGTGATTTTTTTTATATTTTTGAAAATTAATTAAGAATATGAATTCGTATAAGTACAAACTGTAGCATGCTTTTAGGGATATTGCTAATACTGACAATTTTAAGATGAAGAAAATCGTCTTAAAAAGACATTTTCTTCCAAAAAAAACATATCTAATTCTTGTATATATTTTCTCCCAGTGCACTTATATTATATTACTTTGCTTGCCTCGCTTTGTTGGGTGTTGTTTTTGTGTTTCGGTCTGGCAAGTGGATTTACGAGCAACAAATTTATGTTCGTTGCCTATTTTTATTTGCCTTGCGTGCTTAATCGTCCGAGCAGAGGGAACAAAAAGGACTTTTTCGCCCAGGGGCCACTCGATGATGATGATGATGACGACGTTGTCGACTGCCTTCGATGAACTATAGTTGCCACCACCTTGGGGGAAAAGGAAATCCACTACCCCTTAGTGGGTTGAATGTTGAATCGCACTCTCTAATGAGCCTAATGCCCAGCACAATTGACATTTTACTTAAGGACCTTCATCGAACTGGTGTTGCGCACAATTAGTGTAATTAGAAAGCAATAACAATTACATTTAGTCGAGCCTAATTGCGACCACATTTCTTTCCGCCATCGACGGAAATTTCCTTTTAATTATTGCGAATTTGCCTAATACAATTCTCGAATTAAGTTCATTAATTAGGATGACTGGCCAGCTTCCTCGGCTAAGAACTTTTCAATAGCATTCAATTGGCCGTGTCAATAAATTATATTCAAGGATTTTCCACTGACTCACACCCAAGGAAATGCTGAACACCCCGCCGAGATTGTAAACAATGCTAATTTAATTTGTTGCTCAGTCAAGTGCAGCTAATTGAACTTTAAATAGCATTGAAAGGAAGTTTGGATTTTTGGTTTTGACTCGTTAATGGAACTATAAGATGGGGCGAAATGGCAATTAATTCCGGCTCTTTGAAAGTGTTATTAAATTAATGGATTTGACATTAAACGACATTGCTTTCAGATAGAATTTCTCTCAGAAAATGTAATTTAAGGAAGACAAAAGAAAATTCAGTGCCAAATACATTTTACATACTCGTTTGTTGTCAAAAACTAAATGCAATCAGAGAGAAACTTTTTCCATCTGGCCATAGCATATGGGCGACTTTTTTACAGCTTCATTCTGCCTTCATAAAATAACAATAAAATGTATGTCCTTCTGCTGGCATTTATTGCACTGGCTGTTTGGCATTAAAATATCAACATTCAAATGCAATAAACGCGAAGATATGAATCCCAGTTCGTCCATCTGTAAACAGACAACCGGCCCGAACCCAAAGGCAAACATAGGGAAAGAAAAAATCTTCTGACAACAAATAAAATCAGGAATACGGCGGATGAGGCCTCACAACAAAGCCCATTCAAATAAAAGCAGGTGACATTCGACCAAGCGGGGCAATAAAAATTGGTTGCCCCTCTCGGAAAAAAGGGGGCGGAAATTCTCATAGTAACTTTAGTCGAGCTTTTTACCTCCATCACATCAAAAGGACCAGTAAAAAAAATGCCATGCCATCGCAGAACAGGCGAAACAAAAATTTGACAGTCGATTGACATTACAGCCAATTGTTGGGCGGAATGGTAAAGAATGTTCCCAGGAAACAGTGGTTGGAAATTCGAAATTAATTAGGAAAAAAGATGAAAGTTAAGTAGATTACAAATGGGCTTAAAAAAGTCTTTCAATAATTGATTTAAGTTCTTAAAGTAAAATTTTGAAATGACTTTCCTTCTAACTTTTGCTTTACTCATCTTTTAATCCTCTTCGAATAATATATTTATAATTTTTATTCTAAAATAAATATTAGAAAAACCTTCAAAATTATTTTAAATACTTCCTTAAACTTAACCTTAACCCACTGTACAAAAGCACGACTTTCCTGCAAAAGTTGCCTACGCTGAAAGGTCAACTGGCAAAAGGTATCCCAGGATAACAGATTGCTGGCAGAACCCTTTTTTTTCTTTGTTTTGGGTGGATGAGGGAACTTGCCGCGTTGGGTGGGGCGACTGTGGTGTCATAAATATTTGCACGCATCGGCATGTTGCGAATTTCTTCTTAAAAATTCGTCCCCAAAAGCCGGGAATGCAGGGAGTGTCACCGGCGCCAAAGAGAAAGTGCGCCGTATTAAATATTTGATGCACTATAGGACCAAAAAAAAAAGAAAAAATACAGGAAAAAAGATTGAAAAGTGAAAGGTAAAAGAGCTAAAGGAATGCCTTGAATGTCCCTTTTTGCAGATTGGACTTCAGTCGGAATTACACACACTGCAATGCCTCGCTGCTGGTGAACGACACGTTGGCCATGTCCGGGGATCAGCCCACCTGGCTGAAGCTCCTGCCACCCCGTCTCCATACCCCGGACGCCATACTGAACACCTGGCTTCATCTGGGCGGAGCGCCCCAGGCACCGATTGGCCTGATTATCGAACTGCCGCCTGCCCAGAGCGGCACCGGCTTCACCGGCTGTCTCCATACGCTCCGCATCAACGGACAGGGTCGAGAGATATTCGGGTAAGTCTGTCATAAGTTGTTGATTATCCTTAAGGCAGGCTTAACAGATAACAGAATAATAAACAAGAAAATTCAGTGATATAAGTTTCGCTAAAGCATAAGGAGTAAGGTCTTAGTAATCCAATCGCAATGAAAAGAAAGTTATTTATGATTTAATCAATAAAACCACCTATAACAATCTTAAATCTTTTATATTTAAGTAAACAATTTAATTCGATATTTTACAAATTTAAGAAATATATTTTTTCTCAGTGCCTTTAAGCCACCATCGCCCAATTCCCCTTTTTTTTCGCCCTTTGGGCACTTTGAAAGGTGGACCAACACGGCTAATGAACAGCTCCCAAAAAGTTACGACTTCTTTCGGGTCGATGGCAAGGGGAGTGGGCGCATATATCTCCGCCGGGGGCATCTCTTAAATGTTAATGCCGCTTACACTCTTTCGGAACGCCAAAAGGCAGGAAGGGAAGGTCAGGGGAAATAAAATGAAACCATCAAAATGCCGCCACACAAAGTTGCAGGTGGTGAAAGCCTTGGAGGAGTTGCAGTAAAGACCAGATTATATGGCTACCGGAGTGTTAAAAACTTTTTCCGTAGCTACATGAAAAAATTAACTCTGCTTACGTGCAGAGATAAAAATGGAAATGACCGGAGTTTCCAGATACGGATATAGCTAATACCTAAAGATCGTATATGTACTAAAAGGATCCGCATGTGACCAGTGGGATTGGTTGAATAAAAAACCAAAGTGCAGTCATCAAATGAGATATAAATTATAATGTAGCTCTAATTTTGCCTTCTAATTAAACAAATATAATTATTTTCTTTCTCTACCATTTATCATATATTATACCATAAAGATAGCCTTTAGCTATACATTTTAATATGCCTTGAAATGTCATAAATGCATAAAGAATTCTCAACGAATTCCATGCCTACCATAGACCTCAAGTTTCTTTGGCAAAGGAACTTCTTAGCCATAAAAGAAATAGCCATGCTAAAAGCTTATATATTATGGCCTCTTACCAAGTATGCCAGTGAAAATGCAGCGAGCCCGATGAAAAGGACATCTCAAAGGAGGTGGCATAAGGATGATGGGATGAGGACAGCCAGTCAGCGAATGCGGAAGCCATTCGTCAGTGTGCAACGTTCATAAAAGCGCGCGAGCACAAACAGATGGCCCAAATGCAGGGGGGGGGCTAGGTGCTGAGAGGGTGAAGAAAAGGGGGTCACAAGGCGACAAGGGGGCGGGCACATCCGTGTCGAAAGCGCTGACAGCTGTGGGCTGTTTGTCAAATGGCGCATAAGGATGGTGAAAAGGACATACCGGCCATGGTATTGGCATGTTGAATTAGCTTAGCTCATGAAATTAGCTGCGACACCTAACTCATCGCCCTGTCTTCATTCTACACAGAGAAAAATAAATATTTTTCTTTTAAAAATAATAAATTTAAAACTGGGAAATATATAAAAATCAAATTTTTTTACTTAATTAATAAAAAACTGGAAAATATGAAAAAAAATATTTTAAAGTAACATTTAAATTCCTACAAAATTTCATTAAAATATTTCTCAATGTAGAGATGCCCTAGATGGATTTGGCATTACGGAATGCGGCTCTTTGGCCTGTCTATCGAGTCCTTGTCGCAATGGCGCCGCCTGCATAAAGATCGAAACCAATGATCTGGACGAGAATGGCGAGAAGGCGGAGAAATGGAAATGCAAATGTCCCACTGGCTATATGGGACCTACCTGCGAGATATCCGTCTGCGAGGACAACCCTTGTCAGTACGGTGGAACCTGCGTACAATTTCCGGGAAGCGGTTATCTCTGCCTATGCCCACTGGGCAAACATGGCCACTACTGCGAGCACAGTAAGTCATAGAAAATATATTCTAATTTTTTATTTCTCTTTTTAAGATTAAATAAAATAAGAAAAATTACTTAATTTTCAAACTATTTATTATATTTAACAGATCTTGAGGTGGCCCTGCCTTCCTTCTCCGGCAGCGTCAATGGACTCTCTTCGTTTGTGGCCTACACAGTGCCCATACCCCTGGAGTACTCACTCGAGCTGAGCTTTAAGATCCTACCACAAACCATGTCTCAAATTTCACTCCTGGCCTTTTTCGGCCAGTCGGGTTATCACGATGAGAAGAGCGATCACCTGGCGGTGAGCTTCATCCAGGGGTACATAATGCTCACTTGGAATCTGGGAGCTGGACCTCGTCGCATTTTCACCCAGAAACCCATTGATTTCCGACTGGATGCTCCTCGAGTTCCCTACGAAATCAAAGTGGGCCGCATTGGTCGACAGGCCTGGCTTTCGGTAGATGGAAAGTTTAATATTACAGGTCGTTCGCCGGGAAGTGGCAGTCGAATGGATGTACTCCCCATTTTGTATCTTGGAGGTCATGAGATAGCCAACTTCAATACGTTGCCACATGATTTGCCATTGCACTCTGGGTTCCAAGGTTGCATTTACGATGTGCAATTGAAGGCGGGACAGGTTACGGTGCCACTTCAGGAGACACGCGGGGTCAGAGGTCGCGGCGTGGGTCAGTGCGGAACCAGAGAATGCCATCGACACGCCTGCCAGCACGATGGCGCCTGTCTTCAGCATGGAGCAACCTTTACGTGAGCTCAACTTTTGTTATTCTAATCCAAAATATAGATTATAAATTCCTTTTTCATTCAATTTAGTTGCATCTGCCAAGAGGGCTGGTATGGTCCACTGTGCGCCCAACCCACTAATCCCTGCGACTCCTTCAATAACAAGTGCTACGAGGATGCCACTTGTGTGCCATTGGTCAATGGCTATGAATGTGATTGTCCTGTAGGTCGAACAGGGAAAAACTGCGAAGAGGGTAAGATTCCTCAAATGCTCATCATTTCCAATCTTACAAATAAAAGTTAAAAACTAAATTATAAGCAACGTTTCAAGTACTCAAATAAACTTCTAATTAATTTCAATTCAATCTCTTTCAATCTTTAGTAATCCGATCTCTGAGCGATGTATCCTTGACCGGAAGACGTTCGTATCTGGCGGTTCGTTGGCCATATCTATATGATGGTGGGGATAAGCTGGGAGCCAAGCGCTCTCAAATGGTCAGCTATCGAAACTTTACCAAAAAGTTAATGCCACCGAAACCCATAACCACACCCAGCACACACTTTGTGATGAAACTGTTGAATGAGGTGGAAAAACAGCGCAGTTTTTCCCCAGTTCCCTTAATGGGATCGAAGACTTTCGAGGAGCACCATCGAGTGCAGTTCTTCTTTATCGAATTCCAACTGCGTCCCCTCTCGGAAAGAGGATTACTCCTGTACTTCGGCACCCTGAACAACAATCAGGATAAGAAGATTGGATTTGTATCACTTTCCCTGCAGGGTGGAGTGGTGGAAGTTCAGGATTTCTGGTCCCAGTACCCATGTGACGGTAGTGAGGAGTGTTCGTATGTTGGCCATCGGCGAGTGGCACAAGATCAAGATGGCACAGCGCGGCAGATGGTTGACTTTGTGGGTAGAGGGCAGTGCTTCATCAGCATTGGCTCCTTCTGCAGAGGTTCTCGTCGAACCGGACTCTTTGCTCTATATTGGAGGACTCAAAGATGTGTCGAAGCTGCCGCATAATGCCATCTCCGGATTCCCCATCCCCTTCAGGGGTTGTGTTCGTGGATTGGTGGTTAGCGGAACTCGCATAGTGCTCAACGAAACCAACATTGTGGGTGAGTAAACTTTGATATATATTCGTTATATATACGCCTACTAAGTTTTTTGTTAATCATAGTTTAAGAACTCTAAAAAAATGAATCATTTTGTAAACTTAATCCAAATTTTAAACCATTAGAATCGCGTAATATTCGAGACTGTGATGGCACCGCATGTGGCGGAGATTCCTGTGAATCTGGCGGACATTGTTGGCTGGATGAGAAGCTGCAACCGCACTGCATCTGTCCGGAATATGCCAAAGGTGATCGCTGTGAATATTCGGAGACCTGCAAGCTCATTCCGTGCAAAAATAATGGAAGATGTCTGAGAAGTGGACGCTGCTCGTGTCCAAATGGTTGGGGAGGCTTCTACTGTGAGATTGGTAAGTAGCCAAAAAGGTCATTAACCGTGAGCTCAGTGGGCGCACCTTAAAAGTCAGTCAGTTGTAGTTACAATAGCAGTAACTCATATTAATGCCAAGAAAAACAAGTTTCATAAATCTTCGGGCAGCTTCAAGTTCAATTCCCAAAAAATGTGTCACGAGTAAAAGTTTGTTTTCGCAATTCATACAGAAGCTAAAATGATTTTATTATTATAATCATTTATACTTCATTTTTTTTTTTTTTTTTTTCTTATCTCTTTTTGTGAGTTTGGCTGTGCGGAGTTGTGGGGCAAACAAGTTTTAAAGTCGCAGAGTAGAACAACATTATTATTATAATTAGAGATTGACGGCAGCAGAAAATAACCATTAACAGCGGCATTTGGATTTGGATTCTGGATGGTCGAGTGCACAGCGGGGTCAGGAAGTTGGCTGGCCAAAAAAAAATAACACGAAAATTAGCCATCTGTGATTCACAACAAAAACAATAAAGAGCACTATAAATTGGAATGATGTTAGAGATAGAAAATAATTAAAACTTGCCATGATTCAAAGTTGAATGCTCTCGTTTTGTTTTTTTTTGGATATGCAAATTTGTGATATTCAAGCATTTAGTTTTTGATTCATAATTATTACAAAATATTTATAATATTATATAATTGGGTATCTCCTTAAATGGCCAGTTGAAGTTAAAATTACCCATAATTGTGTTAAAAAATTCCTTTCTCTTTTTAATTATTAGTTCTGTCGCAGTTCTAGAAACTTTTTAAGACAATTTCAATTATCCAATCAATAATTTCAATATTTAAATACCCGCTCATAAATGCAACATTATTCAAAATTATAATGACACTGAGCCAACCGAAACATCAATCAAGCATCTGCGAAACAAGCTTTTTGATTATATGAAATCGGCAGATGCGTTTTTTGTTTATTTCTTTATCCATCGAATGTTATATGTGGAGATTCCAGCTGCCTGCCTTTCACTTATTAGCAAATTGTGAATTAACATGCCACAAAGGCAACTTGAAATTGAAATTGAAGAAATGCAAGCCGGTGAAGGGAAATCGAAAAGATAAGAAGAAATATACGGAAAACTTTCCAAGTAAACCATCGAAAATCTAGAAGCTAGGAAAATCGTAAAGATCATGGAAAAAAGAAATTATGACAGTCAGCAGATGGCTAACAAAAAGCTAGAAGAGAAAAGTGAGAGGAAGTGTAAGAAAAATTAATAACCAGACGATAATAGAGATTAATCTTTGCCTCAAGTTCAGGTTCTGTGATGAGTCATAACAAGAAAAAAACTGGAAAGTGAGTGAAGTTGAAGAGAAGGAAAATCAGACAAATGGGTAAAGAAAAGTGTATAGTATAGTGAATGATTATTTGGCTAAAAACTTTAATCAAATATTTGCTGTGAAATTTCATATTCAACCAAATTCATTTCAATTTAAACCAAAAACATTTTGCCAAAGATTAAAAATGTAAAACTTTTATCAATAAGTCACAATTTTTCTAGTTTTCTAAGTACTTTAACAAGAGAAAACCTCCAAGTAGATTAGAAAGAAGATTGAGCAAGTCTAAATGGAAGATGATGGTAGGCTTATAAACGAGATCAGGGCCTGAAGCTGAAGATTCATAAAGTGAAACAAAAGACGAAGACGAACAATGCAGCCGGAGCAGCGGCAAGCTGATGCTGTAATTTAATTATGTATCGCATGCAATGTGTTTAATGCAACAACGCCAGCGTGTGTGTCTGCCACAGCCGCTTCTCTTTTCCCCTCCTGCAATATTATATATTACTTATAATTTTTTTTTTGATTTTTCTAGCCATGAGCAAACCAACAACGCCGAGCTTCCGTGGCAACAGTTACCTGATCTTGCCGCCGCCACGAATTCCAATGAAAGACAAGAGACGGGGACCCTCTCTCTATGTCCGCCCCCGCGAAGCCATCCAAGTTTCGCTGAATTTCTCGACCATCGAACCGGACGGACTGCTCCTTTGGAGCGAGCACGAAAAGAGTAAGTTCCTGGGTCTAGGATTGGAAGCGGGTCACCTGAAGTTGGCCAGTAATCTTTTGGGCAGTACCAACGATACGGTTAGGGCTCCGGCCAGTGGTTTTATAGCCGACGGAGCTTGGCATTGGACGAGTATACTGTTGGATCGATCGAGACTGGAACTTCAGCTAGATGGCGAAGTGATCTTCACGGAGAGATTACCCGAGAATGGCAGATCCTGGGCCTCCACAACCCCGAGAACAACTATAGCGGGCAGGCGCAAGAATTCCAACAAAGAGCCAACAATTAGCTACGAGGATGTCTTCTACTTGGGTGAGTTTATAAGTTTTGATAAGATCACAATCATATTTAAAGTACTTAGGTTTTTAAAAAATTGTTTATCATTTTACCAGTAAATGCAACTTATCTCTTACTTTTTCTCCCAGAAATTTATGTTTATCGTATAACGTATAATTTATACACAAAATTGATCATTAAAACTTTCTGTTTTGCATATCACAAGTGGTTATCAAACAAGTTTTGTTTATTTAATAACACTAAAATATAATAATCGCATTACAATGTTGTATGAATTATTGCCTAATGATCCGACTTACCGGTTTCCTTTTTATTTTCTACAATAACATAATTTATAAGACTATTTAGGCATTATAAGACTTTTTTTTGCAATAATAGCACATATTTTTTTATAAATATTCTATGGGAATTCAATTTGTTTGACCCCCAAAACATGATTACACTCACAAAAACATAGATATTGGATTACAAGTTATAAATAAAACTTAAAAATTTAGCTCTTACCACTGATCCAATTACTTTTTTATGGCTTTCTCATCAAAATTCACTAAAACTAGTTTCAAAATGTTTACAAATTTTAAAACAAACGCAACTGCTACAATTTTAATGCAATTTTAAAATCCACTTGTTGATAAGTTCACTTTTTTTTAAATGTTAAAACTAGCAAGAATTAATGTGAAAAAACCCACGATCACTTAAGACTTTAACTAGTAATTGGCAAGACTGTTTTTACAAGCTTTTTAGCTATAACTTATAGTTCACGACATTTAAATATTTTAAAACAACGATTTCAAGCCATACTTGCTGAAAAGTCGCGAGCCGAACAAACACTGACTTAAACTGGGCTGCCAACTCGGTAGCGTAAAACAGCTGTTGAGCCAATAGCTTGTTTAACCAAACCAGATGTTCAATTTAGTGCTGTTAGACGCAACAACACAATGTTAACTTACGAAGCTTACGAATTAAACAATACAAATTTTATTAATAAAGATGAAAAGTCTACCAGTTTAATAAATAACCTTACTAACAGAAATATTTAATACAATCGCAGTATTAAGATTTATGTAAAAACTTATGAAAATAATTTCATGTTCAAATTAAAACTTACTATTAGCCATTAAATTTTGCTGTTATTTGCGTAGCAGTCCAAGTGCTGAAAACGCAACCATTTACCTTACCCAACACTAACAACTGTTCAAATCAAAATAATAAGAAATCATTTTCTACTCTAAAAAACAGGCGGTTTTCCCAATTCGGACTCGGTGAGCAGGCGCACAAAAGGCCGGTTCTTCGATCCGTTCAAGGGCTGCCTGCAGGACATCCAGTTCGGAGCTGAACCCACAGCGATTATCAGCGATTTCTCGACGTACCAGGGCGAGAACATTGGATCCTGTGATCTGCACGGCGATGAGCCTTTAATTGTATAGGAAACAAAATCAAAAGTAACATGGAGTAATGGATAAATCGGAGTTACGAATCTGTAGAACACTTTGATCAATTTAGATTATCAAGATTGGCAATATTCTTGAGAAGCTAATTGAGGACGCGATATATAGAGAGAACTACTTGTAAGCTAAGTGATAAGCGAGTTTATATAGGAAGTGTGGGGGGAATCCCCTGCCAGAATCAATATATACACACAGTTTTTGGGCAAAGCTATCGATAAAAGACAGACGAATAAAAGAAAAGAAATGGAACGTAATTTTGTAAATTTTATAGAAATAAATGAAAAACAAAAAAAAGACAATGTTTAGACTTAAACAATGGAAACAAACAAAACAAATTAACTGGTTTATCAAAACAATACCAAAAGCAAAACTAAGACAAAATTTTAGACTAGCATCTAAATCTAGAAAATACCGATACCAGATAAAGATATAAACTTCTCTAACGTAAGTGATATTTCAAGTGGAATAACGATTATGGATAAACGATCCAAAAAGCAACTTAACTTATCTCTATGTATATTGTTTTTGTTGAGCCAACCTTTTGTTATGCAATCGTTAGCATTTGTGTTATAAAATTGAAAAACTAAACATATTTTCCTTAAATTGCAATACTAATTTATCTACGATAACTGCCCCTAACACGATTCTGCCATTTTTAGTTATTCAACTTAAAAGTAATAATTTAGTTAGTTGGATATTAGCGTCCTTGTTATCTCTGTACGTTAAATAGCATAACAATCTCCTGATTGAAGCCATTTAGTTGCCTTGTAGTAAGTTAGCGTATACTCTATATGATTTATCTTCAACTAACTCAAATTCGAAGTCGACTATTCTAACAACAAATCAAGACGCATATGGAAAATCTATGCTAGTCATACAATATAATTATTCTTATAAATGGGAAACCAAGTAGCAAGACAGATACAAACAAACAAAAATATATATACAATACTTATACAATACGAAACCAAATGAAAATTGTAACCAAAACTGTAAGTTAAGTATGTATTTATTTCGAGAGACATCTTAATCAGTTATAATTTTAAATAAAAAATGTGGGAATTAGAAAAGGTTAATAAAACTTAAAAGATGCGATTTGTTTTATTTGGGATTCTGGTGGCTTGATATTACAATAAAGTAATTAATTTAGACTCCTATTTATGAATATAATCACGGTAAGCTTTACAAATTTATTTATATATCTTTATCATTTTTAATTAAAATCTTCCAGTTTCTGATATGATTATTACAAGTACCAAGAAGATCTTCTTCGCTTAATTGATGCTTTTGAATTTCTTAAAGCAATTGCTGAAAAAAAATAACATTAGCGTATAAAAGCGAAAAAGAATTTACAATTTTAAAACTAACCAACATCAAGGAAGCACTTGCTGACATTCAAGTTGGTAATTGCAGATGTTTCCCAAAAGATTAATCCATTTCTCTCAGCATATTTCTCCGCCTCAAAAGTGGACACAACTCGATTGTTGGGAATATCAATCTTGTTGCCCACCAAGGCTATAACTTTCCTTGGATTTAATGTCTATAAAATAAAGAAATATTAAACATTTAAAAAAATAAATCCAAACTTTAAGCCTACCCAATCATTGAGTTCTTCGGCCAACTGGATCACATCATTATAACTCTTTCGATCATGAATATCGTATACCAATAGGGCACTTTCATGGTTTGTATATAGCCTTTTTACTATCTCTTTGAATCTAAGTTAAACAAAAATATAACAAATACAACAACTCATAAAATTAAAATATTAAAATATCAAAAACAAAACGAATTTATCTGGGATAATAAATCTTATTTTTAATATGATAATACTCACCTCTCGTGACCCGTTGTATCCCAGATCTTCAACCTGGTAGTTTCATGAGGTTCCAGTATAGTTTTAAACACAAACTCCACTCCCTCAGTGGGTTGAATATTTTCAGGGACTTCACCGCTTACATATTGCGAGACTAACAAAGATTTTCCAACGCTTGCATTTCCTAGGATAACCACATCAGCAGAAAAGACTATTTCCATCTTTCACCGATCCGCTCTAGAAGAGCTCCAACTCGAGACTAATTAAAGGAATATTACGATGATTATTGGTGAAATTCCCTTTTAAAGTCCAGACAATTCGTCATCATCCAACCTACGTTTAGTAATGACTAACGTTAGAACCCAACTAGCTATTAATATCCACTTGACAGGATGAAAATTTCCTTAATTTAATTTTTTAAAACTGCAAAAACACTGTTTTTTTCCTATTATAATTTAGTGACCCATAATTTAAATAAAAATTTTGGTTCATTGTCGATTCAAATCGAATGACTCTATATATATACGAACTCATATATATATATAAGTAAATACGATGTTTTCATTTATTATAATTTATAAATGGTAAATTTAAATACATATAGACAACATAAAAATTATGAATTGGAAAGAAATAAGCATCGGATCATATAGATGTCTCGTGGAACGATTTAAACAAATAGTTTATGGTATTGTGTTGTTCGATTCGTTTTATTTACGTTTGTTTTTCTCTTTGCATTATGGTAAAGTATTTCAAGGTTTATGCTTAAGATTTCACTTTACTTCCTTCGCTTAATTGCATACTAGATGTAAGTTTAATTTTTATTTTTTATTTTTATGGTTTACGATAGTTTCTCCTTTCTCGTTTATGTTTAAAGATAGTAGCATTAAATCTTCGATTGCTGCTAGAATGTGGAAAAATAGTTCAAACAAGACGAAACTAAAAAAAATTTTAATTATGCATAATTTGTTTTCTTTTTGTTTTTTTTTTGTGGTTTTTGTTTTCTTTCATTTTCATATGTGTATATATAATTTATATAAATTGCAACTATCACACGTGTCCACCGCGACCCGGAGTCGAATCCGTATCCGAGTTTGGTAACTGGAATCTGGAATCCAGTGCTTCGGAGCCGGAGAGACACACACATTGCCACAGACCGAGGCGAGCGAGGATCTTCAGCCGCTGGCCTGAACTTTTGCTCCTTGTGGTGTTTCTTTTTTTTTTATTTTTTTTTTTTTTTTTTTTTTTTTGGAACGCTGCTGAGAACAACTGCAACTGGAATCTTCCCTTTACTTAATTCTCTCAGAAACTTACACGAAATGTAAACTTTACAAATATTATTTTGCTCGCTTAGATGCTTTCCGGGATTTTCTGTTTTTTTACAATACAATTTCAAACTTTCTACGACACGATGAACTCTGCAAAAACCTTCTGCCCTTTCTCTTCAACTTGTTATTTTTTTGCTTTGTTATTTGAAATGTTGTTTATGTTGGTATTATACTGATAGTTTAGCTCTATTGCAATGGGCGTGTCAGTTTTCCATCTTTTTTTGATTTTGGACAGTTATCGGTTCTAATGAGAGGAAATTTAGGGTTTGGGAATTTTTAACTAACTTTCATTAATTGCAACTTTCGTTTATGTTGGGTAGGGGAACTCCGTCGGTATTTAGTTTATAATCCTTATGTGGTCTTTATTATTATTGTTTATGTGGCTCCCAAATGAATTTACTGTCCCCTGGGAGAGCCGGCTTTAGGTATTTCTTTCTGATTCTGTTGAATTTTTAAATAATTTTTTTATTTATAATTATCAGCATAAACTTTTCAAATCTCTCGTTGGAAATTTCATTTTCTAGAAAGCCAAATGAGAACGTTATTATAAACGGAGCCATCATTCGGTTGGAATGAACTAACCTACAAAAGGACATCACTTGCAGCAGTTGTTCGTCGGTCGATTTGTTTCGGTGCCAGTCGGCCTTATGCTGGTACCCTGATTGTTGGCGCCATCGTTCTTAGGTAGTTTCTTGGCTATAATTAGAAAAGTGATTAGCTTAGTTTCCAGTATGGTTCTTGGTGTCATTAATAGCCTACCAATGGCCAAGAAAATGTCGTTGACATTCATGCCCGTCTTGGCGGATGTTTCCATGAACAGCAGGCCGTTCTCCTCGGCATATTGCTTCGCTTCATCGAACTCCACGACGCGAATGTTTGACAGATCCGCCTTGTTGCCGGCCAGCGCAATGACAATGTTTGGTGAGGCCTGGAAAAGAGGAAAATAAACATTTTATTACATTGAAAAGTATTAGAAAAAAAATTTTGTAATCATAAACTCAGTTAAGTCTTATATACACATAAACAACTAACAGCAGTTACCCAAGTTGGAAAAGAATAACAACTAAATAAATGCAATGGGGCATGAACGAATGCCGAATGTCTCGAATCAAGTTCAATGCACCCACTGGAGGGCAGTTAATGTACAACAATAAAAAAGTAATTCACATCCATTCAATAATGAAACGCTGTGCACGAGATAGCATTGACCTTGATGGTGAAAACGGAAGAACGGAAATGATGACACTCACTTGTTTATGCAGTTCCTTGACCCAAGTCTTCGCACGCTGAAAACTGTCTTGATTCTGTATATCATAGACAACGATGGCGGCCTGCGCTCCCCGATAATACATGGGAGCTAAGCTGTGGTATCTGTAAACGCAAATATACATTGTTAAAATCAGCTCACAAGTTCAAGATTAAAGTTAATCCCTCCAATAATTACCGCTCTTGGCCAGCCGTGTCCCAGATCTCGAACTTAACGACAGTATCCTCTATGCAAATGGTCTGTGTCAGAAAGGCTGCACCTATCGTGCTCTCCTGGTACTCGTGGAACTGTCCCTTGACGAAGCGCAGCACCAGGGATGACTTGCCCACGGCGGATTCGCCGAGGAGCACCAACTTGAATTGGCAACTTTTATTCTGCGAATTGCCATTGGGTCGCTGCGCCGCTCCAGTGCCGCTGGCACCGCCGCTGCGTGGTGTGGTTGCCATGATCGGTTCGGATTGGATCGGATGCGGTCTTCCTCCTTTGAGATGGCAACTGATGATTTTCTACGGACGGTTATTGCAACTCACTCCCTCTCTGCTGAGTAAGTCTTTTCGGAAAGATTGCTGCTGAGTGTGGATGCGGAATCTAAAAGATTAAAAATAACAAATAAATCTCTGAGATAGTAAGATAGAAACGATATAATGATTCAAAGTATCTTGTATAAAATCCGACACTTGAAAATATTGCATATGTGGATACATGATAAACACACAGGAAAACGTCAGAGGACAGAGTGGCGCCCTTGTTTGTTTAATGACGCCGTCGACAAGCTTAACGAATTGAATGAAATATGTACATATATCCGACAATATGCATAAAAGGCCTCCATCATCCATCAGTGAAAAGTAAAACAGAGCAAAAAGAGCGCCGTTGCTAATGGTAATCGATAAATCCAATTGAAACTGAAAGCCATACGCCCTAAAAAAAACTCTCAACTGAATACAAATTACTTAATTTCAATACTTTCACACGTCAGAAAAACAAATCATTATCGTTCACGTCACTTAGCAACATAATACTACTGATAAGAAAGTCGAACTATCAGAGAAAGTACAAATCCGGAACTACGAATTTCAATGTCAAGAACTGGGCTTGGAAAATTGCTTGCGTGTCGGCTTCAAACACTCACAAACTTAGTTAATTGCATGTGTAAAAACAAACACAGCAACAACTAAAAATACTTTGGCAAACACTAAAGAGAAGCCTTAAAAATGTTGTTTAGGCCCAATTATTGTTTTTCCCTTTCTTCTTTAATTTCCAAGCCGCAAATATAAAGGTTTGCAATTAAACAAAATTCTTATCGAGTTTGTATGGGAAAACTTAGTTATCGTAATAAACCATTTATTGGAACTCCTTCAGCTACTATACAATTGATAATTCCGACAGTTTCTGATAAAACTATTTTCGAGGGCGGGTTATTTAGAAATATAAAATGATATTTATTACGTATTGAGGGGACGCCTCGAATTATTCAGACGGAATGCGTGCGGTTTCGACAATCTATCTGTTATCAGTGTTATTTTTATGATTCATACGCTACACTGGCCCCTCGTTTTTCTCCGTAATGAGAGCAAGTCCTCTAGAGACTTCTATATGTATCAAATTAACGTGTTTATATAAATATATTTAACTAAATATATTAATAAATATCTCAAGATAAACAAGATATTTAATATTAATCTTAACTCCATTCTCTGGACTTAGGAAAAGTTCCGAATAAATTTCAATTTGATTTTATAATGACAGACGTTGGAAATCTCAGATTCCCGACTGTAATTAATTAACACATTGAAGCCAGACTATACAGTGGAGATAAATCTACCAAGATCGGGGGATGAAAGTCTACACGAATCTTATTTATTTTGTGGAGAGAGGTTAACTAACAGCGAAGAGCTAAGGAGAGTAAGGGCGGAAGCTGAGCTGAGATAAAAATCAATGCAAAATGCATTAACGAAGGAGAGAAGCGGAGAAAGTAAAATAGTGACAAACATCACAGATGTTGTTGTTGCTTTGCGGCGTTATTAAATTAACGAAGAAGGAGAGAGGAAATATGCTGTGAGTCTCTCTATGACATTAAAAATGCAGTCAGTCAACAATTGTTTGTTTCTCCCTTCCGCCCCGTTCTATTGTTTTTGTACTAAGGCATTGGAGCAAAGTGCACAGTCACACACTCACAAACACTATCAAAAGCCGCAAACTTGCTCTCTCTTTTTTTGTTTAATTCTCTCTCACTTGCGATAAAGGAATTTCGCCTACATTTTTTTGTCCAGAGAATGACGTAGTTGCAAAGCGAAAACCGCACTTTAAATTGAATTAAAACAATCCGTTTGTAAACCAATGCGAAATTTTCCATGATCAGCCGACAGCTGGCGGTGATTAACTCACCGGGAAATGTATAAATTAACCTATCTACATAACCAATATGGTTTATTAAACCTTTAAGACACTCGAACAATAGAACTGGCCTTCGCGCCCGTCTGCGGAAAATTCAATAAAATATAAAACAACGTTCAACGCTAGGGTCAGGAAATTACGGTTCTTTTAGAACAGCTGACGATGCGTCATTCACATGTACCAACACAATTACAAACGAATCAAGAGAGAATAAGAGTGAGAACAAAAACACCACGCAGCCACAACAATGGTCAATCAAATAGCCCCTAAACAAGGTATATTAGTATTTTAAAATACACAAATACATTATAAGTGAAGTGTTTTATATAGGTATGCATTATTTTCTACAAAAAATTATTGTTGTAGAAAATACTATATTTGTATTATCATTGGATAGTCAGACGTTTTATTAGTATTTCTACTAGAAGTTCAATCTACTGAAACCTATTAACGTGGTCTTGACTGTAAAATTGCCTCACTCAAAAAGTCAACAAGTGCAATTTTCTCAGCACGCATATTTGAAGCACAGCTAAAGACCGGAGAATACAATTAGCGTTATATTTACAGTCACACATACTACTTAATAAAAATGTATTGTATGGTCCTCCCATTTTGCGAAGTGAAAAAGTCTTAAATAAACAAATGTGAGCAAATAGAAGATGGGATTTTGTTTACATTTCGGCTTTAAGAAAAACATGAGAGGAAAAGTGGGTGTTTTTTTTTTGAGACTTGTATGATAAGAAAACGTATCGCAGATAAATACACACACACTAACACAACCGAACTCTCTTTAATTAAGACGCAAAACAAGCAGAACAAAGAACCGCTATATTCTTTTCTTTGGAGCGGTTAAAACCCTAATAAATCGTGTGACCGATCAGACCGATCAGTTTCGATCAGCTTTATTCCAAGCCCACGGTGCACCTGCAGTTTCTTGATCTCTTAACAATGAAAATTGAGCAATATTTTAGTTATTGCGAACCCACTGTTCACACTGCACTTGGAGCAGGTCATATGGACGTCTCGCTTTAACGACCGCCCCCTTGGGCAACGCACCCAAAAAATTCATGGCCATCTATCGCACTCGCTCTTACACTCTTACACTATGGCGGACGGGGCGAGAAAATTTTTATACAACTTTCTTAATTAATTAAGGGGAGAAACGCGAAAGCAACAACGCAAAACAGCCGAATTACGCACTACTTAACGCGGCTCTTGAAAAACAGTATACTATTTGCATTTACGTATTTTCCTTCAACTGTGTGCCCCAAAACAGCCCCAAAGAAGCGAAACGAAACGAGCTCAGAGGGAGACAGATAGCGACTGAATTGACGATTCGCTTCTCGCAAATTTATTGTCGCGTCGGAAGTCTTGTTTTTGTCGATTTCATTTCCTGGGCGACCTCGCGGCTAGTTTTTTTTCGCGACCCTTTTATTATTGATTTCCCTGCTTATTGGAGAATTTGTTTTGATTGGTTTATTGGTAAACTTAACTTACAACTTTCCACTTTACTTTTTTATGAATAGTGTGACCGAATCTGTAAATAAAAAATCGTAGATGAGAACCAACAGTGAAGTATTTTTGTGTGTGACCGCAACAGACAAATGGTGGAAAGCTGCGGTGATATATTGAATTAATTTGGTCATACTGTTTATTAACACAGACTCAAGCCAATGGTACCCATTTCTATAGGCTTTTAGCACATAATTGATGTGGTGTGACCAATAATTTCAATAAAATTTCCAATAAGAAATCCTTGTTATATATTTTAAAATCAACTTTAAAATTATTTTAAATTAAAAAAAATTCATTCAAAACTGAAGTAAATAAAGCATTTCTGGAATATTGTCTCATAATTATTGTAGGCAATCATCCATTATTGTGATAAAAAAAGTTAAATAGTCATCAGTGGATATATTACATTTTTTAAATAATTTTTTTTTACACTTTAATCCCTACTAGGGTTCTCTGTTTTAAAAATCAAAAGCTCTACAAGAAAAACTTCCAATCATGCCTTTAGACACGATATTTTGATAAAAACTTATATAATAAATATATTATAACTAAGTTTTAAACGTGTTGCGGGGAAACCCATCACTTTTTTGACATTTCTGCAATTCATTACGCTTTTTAAATTTATATATACAGATTCATTGTTGGTTTCATTTTCAATCGCTTCTGCATAAGTCGTTTATCATATACAGCAACCACAGTTATCGGTATATCGAGTCTCTCCCCGATTTAAGTAACTGATGGTTTTGGTAAAATTGAGTATATTTGAAGTCTTAGATATCTGGTATATTTCATTAGTATCGCCGCGGGCACACTGGATGAAAGAAGTAATAACATTGCAAGAAAAGGAGTGAAAAATTGAGAAAGTGTGAAAAGTTTGAAACATCTTATTGAAACGACTATGACTTTTTAAGTGATTGAATTCATACAAAAAACATTGGAAATTCAATACATTCGCGTCCTGCTCTATTTTCGCACACACACACACATACAGCCCATCACACACACACACACACAGTTGCGCCTTTCGTCATCTCTCTCGCTCTCAGCTTTTTTTCGCAGCTGCAACGCAAATTCCAAAAAGGATAATCCCCACCGATCTCGCGAGTCCTGTCGTTAGTCTTAGAGCGAATATAAAGCCGCGAAGGTGAGCTTCCAAAAATCAGCTAATCAATATTGATTTTAATTTGCGGTGTGTCTACTTTTCGGGTGGCCTTTTTTATTGTGTGAAATTCTAGGGGATCCAGGACTTTGAAGGATTCTGCACACGCACACTCGTGCAAATGCAGTGCCACTTCAAGAAAGTGAACTACGATATATAAAAGAAAAGCGAAGGGAAAAAATATATTCTTAACCTTTACACGTACACAGAAAAAAATGCATTGATATGAACACTAATGTGATTATAAAACTCTTTGGGAGGTGATATTAATTTTAAAACGCTCTTAAAAATATATTTTTATAATTAATATTAGTTTTAAATACAATTTTGATAAAGTTCACATTCCACGGTGTTCACTCTTCAGGGAGGCCACTGTATATACACACCTGATCTAGAAATTTTTCCTACCTGCAAAGGAATTTTGCTTAAAAGGTTATATAAAACAATGTCCAATTTCTCTTATAGATGGTGACCGAAGGAAACTTGAAGATCTAGGAAGAGCAAGTGAATTTTTGGTGAATTCGACACGGATAGCATGTTCACTCCCATCAAAAAGATATTCACGTACATACAAAAAAATGCGAGCGGCTCCAATATGTTCAGCCCATCAGGAAACACGGCAACTGGCCAACGGGAGGACACTCCCAGTTTAAGTGCCCATGAAGACCGTGATATGAAGGATCAAGAAGAATGAGCAGTGTGATCATGAGGATGATCAAGGGAATCAAAGACAGCAACAATTGCAGATCCTGCCCGAACTGGACGATGATGAGGTCGACATCGAGAGACAGATCAAGACCTCCATAATCGATGCAACCAAGGTTCATGCAGCCAAGGCTAAGGCGTTGGCCTGCTTACCTTTGCCTCTGGAGCAAATGGACGATGAGTTGGCGGACTTTGCCCACGGCCCCGCGGACATCGAACTAGAGGAGCAGTTCCTCGAGCTGGAGAACTATCCGAATAACGAAATTATTGTGCTCGGCGATGCGGATCTGAACTCTTCTATAGCCTCTGATGCTGTTTCCGAGGATCCGCTGGCAATTGACAACTTATTGGACTCCTCGTCGATAACAACCAACGAGGAGGTCGATACCAGTGGTGAGCTGCTCTGGCTGAAGCTAAATAACGAAACGGAAATAGCTACCAGTTCTAGGGAGATGTCAACTACCAACCAGGTGCCCTCTAAGCCCGTTAAATCGAAGGAAGATGAGCTCCGAGACGGGGGCTCTGATTCTGGACTGGGCAGTGAAACGTCCGCGTTAAGGATGCTTAAGGATCAGGTAGAAAAAGAACCGGAACCAGAAGTCAAGGAAGTGCACGAAACCAAACCTATTAGATCGAATCTCAAACGGAGATTAGAGGATTCGGAAAACGATCCTATAGATCTAGTGCCCGACATTTCTGCTCCCCCCTTGGCTGCTCAAAAGCGGGCCAAGCGATCCATTAATTTTGACGAGGTGAAGGTGTACTATTTCCCAAGACAACAGGGATTCAGTTGCGTGCCGACAGCAGGCGGATGCACCTTGGGAATGGGTGCTAGGCATATAGCCTTCAAGACGATGACCCTGGCAGAGCATGCAGCGGAATTAAGACGGGCACATCGCAGCCAGAACCAGGAACTTCAGCCTCGTGGTTCAAGCAGTGATGACAGCGAGGAGTCTGAAGAGGATTACCTTAGCGAAGGTAGTGGCTCTGATGCCGAAGACGGTTCTAATGGCTTCCTTCAGCCAGTGACTCCCAAACAAAGAAGAGCCCTTTTAAAAGCAGCGGGTGTGCGGAAAATCGATGCCAGCGAGAAGAGCGAATGCAGAGATATCAGAAACTCCAGAGAAGTTTGTGGCTGCTCCTGCAGAGAGTTTTGCGATCCGGAAACCTGTGCCTGCAGCCAGGCGGGTATTAAATGCCAAGTTGATCGAGCCATGTTTCCTTGCGGATGTACTCGCGAAGCTTGTGGCAATACAGTTGGCCGGGTGGAATTCAATCCAACGAGGGTAAGAACCCACTACATTCACACGGTTATGCGTTTAGATCTGGAGCAGAGACAGGGCTCAGTTCAAGGCGTCCAGGGAGGACATATCCAGCAGCAGCAAACGCAGCAGTCCCAACAGACTATAAGCTATTCCCCGGTGGGAACGGCTGCCTCATCATCCGCATACTTCCTGCAAACACAATCAAACTACAGTTCCGGCTACGCTTCTCCAGCTTACACGCCCGAGAGCACTGTGAGCTACTACCAACAGCAGGTGCAGCAGCAGGGAGTGGCCGCATCGGGCCAAGTGATTCCTCAGCAGCAGCAGGCTCAGAGTCAGAGTTATGCGGGATACACTCAATTGGATAGCTTAGATTCGGGCCTTTTTGCTAGTGGCACCAATGCCACGCCCTCCTACGGAGAACTATATCATTCGCTCAGCTATGGAAGCACTCAGGTAAGTAATATTTAAAAACTTAAGTTTTAACTAGATTTAGATAATTAATTATTTCTATATCTTGCCACAGATCACTTCCTATCCGACCTCCTACCAACAGCATTCGCCGTCACCCGCCGTCGCTGTCGCCTCTGGAGCCCCCAACTCCTGTGCTTATAGCTCCTGTGCGGTGCCATCGGCTCCGCCGTACGGAAATGCAACCACCACAGCGTCCAGCAATGCGCCATACCAGACCACCGCTGTCTCCATTACGGCTGCCTCCACCTCCGCTTCACCGTCACGACTTATTGGAAATCCAGTTGGTGCTGCAACAACCTCACCAGTTGCCGTGTCATCCACCTCTTCCCCGACCAACGGCAATGAATTTATCAGTTTGAGCACACCGATCGCCAGTTCCTCGCGCCTCTCCCAGATCAATGATTTGCTTCAGCACAACCGCAACACTACCGCCGCATTGGTGGCCGTCTCCGAGGGACTAAGCGGTGTTAGAACCTCGTCCAGTGCATCCACCATCGACTCCATCGATACACCGCCTATTGTCGAGGATAGTCAGCAGCGAGGATGCATGAGCTTTGAGACGTTGCCCCCGCCGCTTGTGAATCCAGCGCCCATTGTTGCCGTGGTGGAGAGCAAGCTGCCACCGACGTTGGCCTTGCCAGAGCCACAGGCTCCTCCAACTGCCCCTCAGCCACGCCAGCCGCTAGAACAGCATTGAGCGAGTCCACCTAGAGCAGGGAATGCACCACCAAAACCGAGTTGGGATGGGTCCACTTGTGGGGTCTTAATAGGTTTTAAAATAGGAGAACATCACTTCTTGCGCAATTCTCAGTATCTTTGAATTGAATGCTATCATTTTATGAACTCCTTTTACATTTTTGTTTTTATTTTATTTTACCCATTTTACTTTAAGTGACCCCAGACTCAAGTTTTTTGTTCAGAGCCTAGATAACTATAGTAAATCTATAGAAATTCCAAAAGATTGTGTATTAAAAATATTAGACCACTTTTAACATTAATTCTTTAAATAACGTTAGCATTATTTAGTTCCTTTATTAGTGCCCCCTAAATATTCCACCATTTTGCCTACTTAAAAAAAGTTTAGGAAAGTATTTTAGTAAAAAATATAATTGGGAATTAGTGCTAAAGTTTTCATTAAAAGAAACTTGCCCGATACATTTTTTTCCCAACTTGTTGAGAATTGTACAAAGCGAGAAAGAGACCCACCCATAAATCGAAATAGGAGGAAGCAACGAGAGAGCTGGGAATAGTTTTTATAGCAATTTTACACAGCAAAAGACTTCATTACGTTTAAGGCGGCATTGGGCGTGGCTGGGAAGGGGAACGGAGGCAGGTAAAAAGGATTAACAGGGGCAGGAATCAAAATGGATAGCATTGGCGACACTCCTAGATTTTAGGAGATCTCTTCAGTAGCGGCGAGAGCCTGACAAATCGGGCTCGAACCGCCTTGTATAAATCATTTTATTGTTAAATTCGAATTAGTCTATAAGTGCATACTGTAGTTTAGTTACTTTGTTGCTTAAGTTATGTATTTCCATCGCAAAATCAAGCTTCCTTCTACTATTTTTTTCTATCTGTTATTTAAAACGAACAAAATTAGGACACTGTTTAACCTTGTTTATGGTGTTGCTTCAATGAATTTAATGAGCTGAGAGCCCCACAATATCTCTTACAAATTCTGTGTCAAATTTGATTTAACCCAACTTAACTCAAATCGATCGTTAACCGATTTTGTGTTTTGTACTTTGCATTTAGTTACGAAGCCAATTTAATTACCTAATGAGTTGTATGATCCTTTTGTAGAATTATCCTCGATTTAGCTGCTTTTAAGTATTCATTTAGCTCTTAAGTTCCTCAGTTCTGACCTTTAGCGTATTAGCCTTAATGAACCAACAAATGGCAGCAACCAGAATGAAAAAAAAACAACAGAAAAAAGCAACCACACATGCAGTACGATTTAGAAATATGTATATGCAACTTGATAACGACAAAAGCGGAAAAATGAAAAAGATAAAGAAAAAATAATTGCAATTATTTAAATAAATATTGAATACAAAATAGCAAGCATATTTTGATTTTTTTATGATTGATAAATTATATTTATTTGTATTGCTATTTCCAATTGTAGATTCAACGATACTAATTTTAATTTCAGGCCTCAATCTGATATAATTTTCCAGCTAAACTATGTTTATTCCCCGTATTTTATTTATTACTAAGTTTTCCTAACTTCTCTTACAGCTCAGACGTCATAGGTGACCCCGATTTGTCGTCTCATTTCATCGGTAATGGCTATGAGCTCTAGACTCTCGGCATGCGTGAATCTTGGACTCTCGAGCAGACGTTTCTCTATGCAACGACGCACTTCCTCCGCTTCATATCTCAAACCGCAGGTGTTCGTGTAGTGGAAATCAAACTTGGCCCGTGGCAACGGCCAGGATTCAGGAGGGCCGTTTGAGCGGCTTAACTGGGTGCAGCACCAATAATTGGACAGCTGGAAGATTTACAAAGTAAAGCTGAAACAGCTGCACTGATAATCCCTCTGACCCAGAGGTTGAATCCGAAAAAAAAACTAAGATAAGCTCACCTTAATCTCGCCCTTGGTACCCGTAATGACGGCATCGTTTTCAAGATTCTCCAGTCCTGTCACCAAAGCCACCAATCTTCGTCCATCTCCATAGTCCAGCATAAACTCACCCTGCACATCCACTCGATCCTTATTTAATTGCGTTCCACTGGGCAGGATTTTGACAGGGGAAACACCGAAAACAAACTGTCCCAGTTGTAGGGCGTAAATCCCAATGTCCATTAGGATGGAACCGCCTAGAGAGCGACTGCACACCCGTTCCATGTGAGCCAATCGGAAGCCATGTTGGATCTTCACCTGGGTTATCTCCCCAACGACATCGTTATTCAGAAGTTCCCTCAACCGATCGTAGCTGGGAAAAAAACGTGACCACATGCCTGAAAGCAAAAGATAATCAAAAATATATACCTCTCATTTGATTTGAGCTTTTTAAATCAATACCTTCCATGAGGAATACTCCGCGTTGCTCTGCCAAAGCGTACAGCTCCTTAGCCTGATCCAGTCCTAAGCACATTGGGGTCTCACATAGGACATTTTTACCCCTGGCCAACATCAAATGGACGACAGCATAATGATATGGATTAAGGGTGCCCACATATACCACATCCACCTCTCGATCTAGAGCCAAGGCGTCGAAACCATCATAATGCCTGGGAATCTGATTCCTTTGGGCGAACTCCTGAGCCCGTTGACCATCCACATCGGCCACGGCCACCACTATATGGCGGGATTTCTCGACAGTTCCAAGAGCGGTGACAAAATCCTGTGTTATCCTGCCCGCTGCTGCAATGCCCCAGTTGAGATTCGCCTGACTTTGCATTATACTTCCCGATGTACCGACTGCTATATGGGTATCCGTTCTGTTTTCGAATCGAGTCTCGCGCTCGGGCTCGTGTCCGGGCAGCTACTGACGCCATGATAATGATACTGAGTGCCAGTCCCGAGGGGTCTCCTATCAGTCCCTGGCATCTGCATTCATTGCACTTTTCGTATTCAATTGCATTCCGGTTGATAAGGAGCCGCACATTGACGCTCTATGAGTAACATTTTTGGGTGATGATGCTCGGGTTTTGCTATACTCAGTTTAATTCTTTGTTGTAATTCCTTTTTTGTTTCCTGTTTTATCAGAACTTAATATCGTTTTGATCGCTAATGATTAAGTACTAGTCAATAAGTTTCTGGAATCTGACCCATAATAGATTTCCGTCAGTGTTCTTGAAGTGATCATAAGGTTTTCGTCCACTCCATGTATTCCAAATCTCTAAAGGGCTTTGACCATGAAGTATTCTACGCAATTGAACTTATCTTATCTCTCAGAACTAAGACGAGCCCCCCTTTTTACTACTATCTACAAAAATTACTATTCTACCAAACTTTAAAAGTACAGTTGAGTAGTCTGCAAAAAGCTCAATTTTTAAAATTGTATAAAATTTAAAGAACTGTATGCTTAAATAGTATTTTCCTAATAAAATTTATAAAGATCATTCCAGTCATTAGAATTGGTCTCGCTTAGCGTCAGTCTAGGTGGTAAAATCTTGAACAGGGGATAAGAGAACTGATACAAAAAAAACCCTGAGATAAGAAACCCCTGCGATTTCTTTCTAGCTCCTAAATTAAAAGACACCCTATCACGCAACAAAAACGTGATCAACTGTGAACAGTATAGAATGAGAATTTTGCTATATCATCTAGTGTAGTTACACCCCAGGCAGAGTTCGACCTAGTGGGAATGTCATTGCTGCCGTTCCACAATCAATATTCTACCTTATCGCACTGTTTGTCAATCCTTGATTTAGAGTGGAGGAATCGAAAAAAATAGAATCGATGGGGGTACACTTTTTGTAAAAACATTTACATGTAAAATGTATGCACTTAAAATATAAAAATATTTTTTAATAAAATGTTTGGAAATTTTTTCATTTAAAGAAAAATTATTACAGACAATAATTATTTTTTTAAACTTTTCTATATTTGATTAAAATAACATCAAGAATATGTTGCTTTCAAAAATAGTTAGAAAAAGTTATAAAATGTTTTTTTTTTACAAAATTATGTTTATTACTTTATGTTATGTTTAAAAGTTTAATTTTAAAATCTACTTTTACTCCTCGTCGAACTTATTCAGCACACCGATCTGCTTGCGGATGGTGTCCTCGATCTCGGCGAAGAGCAAACTATCGGCGTAGGTCACGTTCTTGTTCTCCACATCGCCAGCGATGACGGACTGACGCACTGCCTCTGCCTCGTACCTCATGGCCTCGGAGTTGGCATAATTGGTCTGGTACTTGCCCTTAGGGGGCAGCCATTCCTTCTCCTGACCATCGATGTCGATCATCTTGTTGGCCGTCCAGAAGTCAATAAGCTAGAAGATAATACATTTATTATAATTTATGTTTTATTACGATAGATTAGATTACTTACGGTAACTTGTCCTTTGGTGCCCTTGATCACGGCGGTGTTGGAAAGTTTCACCTTTGAGGAGAAGCGCATACGAGCAGTGCGTCCACCGCTGTAGGTCAAAGTGGCACTGACGTCATCGTCAATGCCCTCGGCGTTAAGGGATCCCTTAGACTCGATCTTTTCTGGTTTCTCCTGGAAGGCCCACTGAGAGACCTGGATGGTGTAGATGCCCAGATCGTAGACTACTCCGCCACCCAATTCGCGTTTCCTTTGAAGGATAGAATCCATTAATATAAATTTGAAGTTCCAAGTACATTAAATTAGACCACTTACTGCAAGCGATCAACATGCTCCAATGGGAAACCAAAGTTGACCTCCACATCCTTAATTTGGCCAAGCTGACCGTTGGAGATAAGCTCCTTGACGCGCTGGTATGAGGGGAAGAATCGTGACCAGACGGCCTCCATGAAAAAGCGCTTGTTGTTCTTGGCAGCAGCCAGGATGCCCTCCACCTGCTTTTTGTTCATGGCCAAACGGCTTCTCGCAGAGTACGTGCTTGCCATTGTTCAGCATCAGCACAGCCACCTCGTAGTGCTGAGGATTCAGGGTACCAATATAGACCACATCTATGTAATAAAAAAGATAAATTAGTTTTTTAAAACAGCAAGAACTAAAAATTTGTTTTTTAAACTAAACTTACCGACATCGCTGCTCTTAGCCAGCTCCTCGTAACTTCCGAGGGCCTTGGGAATGGAGTGCTTGGTGGCGAACTCCTGAGCGCGATCCAGGGATCGGGCGGCAATAGCCTGGACCTTGTGGTCGCTGGAGGGCAGGGTGCTTAGAGCGATGACAAAGTCCTCGCTGATCTTGCCGGCAGAAGCAATTCCCCAACGGATGAGTTTCGACATGTTGATGTTTTGTGAAGCGGGCTACGAGTGAGTAGAAAGTCGAGAGGATTGTTAGTTAAATATGGATGGGTGCCTCAAAGAGAACCCATCTTATCAGCAGTGAATAAGAGAGAATCTAGCGCCATATCTCTTACTCTCTTTATCTCTCTACGGGAAGTTTATCGTCCTACTATTATTTGAAAGCAAATCGACAAAAAGTAATGGTTCTATTTCACAATGTTATTGAATTTGACCTTGTTTGAGTACTACTTGAATTATTCTGGATGCCACCTGTACGGCAATTCGATGTTATCATTCGATCGAACGAGCCCTCCTCTCTTGGCCAATAATTCCCGCAATAATAATAAATACTTGTCACGTTCGCTACACAGAGATAAAAGATAATTGCATAAATAATCAAAATAATGATAATGTCGTCATAGTTCAATTGGTTTTCGAATTATGTTGCTAAGATTTTTGCCTTCAATTTCTGGTCTACATTTTGTTATGATTAAATCTCTTTAATTCAAAGTTTTAATATATATGTTCTCTTACATTTTATTGTTAAAGTTGACATATTAATTTTTTTTAGTGTACCGATCATTTTTATTCCCAACAATTTTTCTGGAGTATTTGCTTTTTGATTTTTGTTTACAGCTGACAACAGGTACTCTTAATATTCCTTATGTACTTGTCCATTTGTAATTATTTTCCCTATTTAAACAAACCCATTTTGCATATAAAAATTTAAATAACCTTGAACGTTAAATAAGCCGACTAGTTGTTGACTTTTGCACGTTACAATAACCCTTTTAATTATGTTTATAAAAACTATGATGGCAATTGACTCCTCCACACTGTAGTTATATACTTAATTTTAATTAAACTTCTTACATTGAACTTGCTGAACTAAATGCTTAGATAAAACTTTCCACTGTGTTTATGTGCGACACTTCTATTTATAGCTTTTTTAATAAACTAATCCCTGAACACCCGACATGGAAAACAAGTCAACTTCCTAAAATCTCTTAAGAAATAAGCTTTTTGAAATTTCTGGTGGGTGTACCAGCTAAACATGCAGATGTATGCGTTTTGTGGTGAATGCCAATTTAAAGCGGAGGAAAACAGCTGTTTATTGTTTTCCTCCTAATTTTTTAAAAACACATTCTCAAAAATGATACGAAAACTATTATTTAACACACATGGTGTGTTAAAACAGCAACCAAAGGTGAGTACAATTTAATCTTAAAACCCTATGGTTGCATTACATACGCTACCGTGCAGTTACATCACATAAGACACCTGGCAGCACCGAAAATTTTGCAACTTGAACAAATCCACATAGACGAAGCCGTCAAAGTGGAGCCAACTTTATCTATCTTCACACCTGAGATTTGGCGGAGAGCACATCAAACGTTTCAGAATCACGGTTTAGAAACGACAAACTTTCTGAGAATAGTTACCGGTAATCCAGACATTCTTAAACGAACGCCAGCAAAAATAATCAACAGCCTGGAAATTTGGAGAGCCTGCCAGTTCGGCGAGAATCTTCTACACCTGCTCCTTACAAAATATCCTGAATTATTGGACATAAGTGACTCTCATCAGTTACTTTCTCATATTGGCTTTCTAAAAAGTCGCGTCTCCACAAGTAAAAATGTTTGGAAACTACTGATGAATAGTCCAGATCTAATAGCACAGCATGAGGAATCCTTAGAGGAAAAGCTTAATTTCATGATAGATGTAATGCGCATTGAAGTTCCGGAAATAGTGAAATCATCTGCTTTAACTTTACCATTTGAGGAGCTGCGTTGTCGCCACGAGTTCTTGGTCCGGTTGGGCTTATTCAAGCCGCGACCTCTGAAAGCCAATCCTGATGAGCCCACTACAAACCACAAACTGTATCAAATTACAGACACTTCAGAAAAGAGTTTTGCTACAAAGATATCCCATGTCACTCTGCCGGAATACGAAGCCTTTAAGGAACTCTACGCCAAGGAACTTCAGCGAAAATCCAGAAAAGCAAAAGAGGAAGAAGATTTCAGCGATGAAGAAGACTAGGATTACGACTTATCATTTAAAGCAAACCAAATTTGATTAATTTAATCAACTAATAAATCATTTTACAATGGCAATGTATTTGTGCATTAATTAATAGCATAATTTTGAATTCAAAAGAGTGGATTATTTAGTGAGTAGTTCGTGGGCATTTGGTATGATAGCCGTTATAACATCTGGTAACACTGGGGTCCCGGCATTTTTAGCGGAAAGCGCGTGAATTTCTGTTTTGTTATAATTAATTGAATTAATGCCAAATAGCAGATAGCCAGGAATTTCAGAGAGCAGCTATGCCCGACAGCCCGTTTCCAATGAGCAATCGCAGTGGCCTGCTGCGCACCACACTTAATAGTTCTGTGGCACCGCAGAACCTGTCTCATTCACTGCTCCTCCTCGAGCATAGCAACGCGACTGCCATGGAGGATCGGTCATTGATCGAGGATGCCGGCGACGATATGGATCGCGGCAAGAGCCGTGTGGATGTCCTATTCCCACAGTTTTTTGAGGTGCTACAGACACATAGCGGCGGAGCAGATGCATTCGAAGTGATTCAGGCTCTCACCCACATCTGTCGCGGTGTAGTGGAACAGCTGGAGCTGGAGATTGAGCGCGGTGTGGGTGGATCACAGGGTGCTCGACAGCGAGAAGCCATCCTTGGTTGGTTACGCCAAGAGATCTACACGTGGCGCCTAGTGCACGCCCTCTTCTACGACCGCATCTTGCTGCAGACTGATACACAGGCGGATGAGGCGATGCATGATGGTCCGACACTCGGGGGCAGCGAGAAGGAGGTTATACAACAGCTTTACACTATCAATGCTACCCTTCGTGAGTATCAGCTTGTGGTAGACTGGTTAGAAGCCTGCTACGATCCAGGGGAGCAACAGAACCCACTTCACTGCCATGACCGCATGATGGCTTGGGAGAACACGCTTTTCCAGTTGGAGAACCTGCAGGGCGCCGCCTTTGGTAAAGGTCACGAAATTGTGGCGCACCTGGACCCGGATGCGTCCGTACGCGAGAAACGCCCGCTGCACGCCCTAGACGAGGAGGACAATCTGCGTCTTTCCCGCGCCGTTTTTGCGGCCATTCGCTCTGGACGCGTAGATGACGGCCTAAAGCTGTGCAAACACTATGGTCAAACCTGGCGAGCCGCAATCCTTGAAGGTTGGCGTCTCCACGAAGATCCTAACTTCGAGCAAAGCGTTGCGGGAGTCCACGAAAAGCTGCCCATCGAAGGAAATCCCAGGAGGGACATCTGGAAACGCTGCGCCTGGATGTTGGCAGATTCCAAGAACTACGACGAGTATAGCCGGGCAACAGCAGGTGTCTTCTCTGGGCACTTGAGCTCTCTGAAGTCCCTCCTGCACAGCAACTGGCATGATTTACTGTGGGCTCATTTGAAGGTCCAGATTGACATCCGTGTGGAGTCGGAGATACGCGGCTGCTGTCTAAAACGTTATCAACCGATGCCCGATGACTACTGGAATGGAAAAATGACCATGGAACAGATATTCGAGGAACTAAACGTGGCTAAGGATGCATCGGTGCGGGACTTTGCTCAGGGACAATTGGGTATTATCCAGCGGCATTTAATCTTGGATACTTGCGGCGAGCTGCTTCAGCACATGGCCCGCTGGGTAGAGAAAGATGCCGGACAACTATCGCCTCATCAACTGCGCTTTATGGCCCATATCGTCCTTTTTCTGCGTCAAATCGGACGCGTAGAGCAAGAACGGCAGGCGGAGAAGATCATTGCTGCCTATGTAGAGGTCTTGATTGCGAGGGCCGAACCGCAACTGATAGCCTACTATGCAGCAGCTCTCTCAAATCCTCTGCAGGTTAAACTGTACTCCAGTTATTTAGAACAGGTTGAGCAAAAGCGTCAGCGGGAGTTGGCTCTGGATGCCGCTTTGAAAGCAGGTTTGGATGTGGAACAGATCACTAGAATCACGGTGGAAAACATTTGGCTCGCGAATCATCCACCTGGGGAATTCGGGGAGCCGCCTGCGGGCCAAATCTCTGTGCCAGATCAGCGCAAGATCTCAGCCCTAGAGTGGCTTATCCAACTGCCGGAGCAGCGCGGTGAGTTGCTGTGGCAGGCCAACGCCATGATACGCACCTATCTGGCCAGTAGCAAGATGGAATGCGTGCGCCAAACCTTTCGCATGGTGCCTGGCGACATTGTACAGCAAATCATAAACTTATACTGCTCTGTGGATAACATCCCGCCGCGCGAGGAGTGCTGTGTGAAGGAGTATCTATGCTACAAAGTGTATCTATCTGGAGTGGACAGTTTTGTGGAATGGAGCCGTTTGCATCAAAACAGGCCTAAAAAACCACAGGCTGGAGGTTCTTCTCAGGACAACTTCACGGAGCGCATGGCCATTGAGCGCAAGGAGCAAGCCCATCGATCCGAAGTCCAGCGCTGGGAGCATAAAGTTAAAGAACAGGCCAAACGTAAGTTTAGTATAGATTCCTGGTATATATAACTATTAATACATATGTATAATACTGGTTTCTTTCCTTAAACACTTTCAGAAACCATTGATACTCTGTACAATGTGCTAATGTTCCCGGATAAGGGATGGCTTGTGGATCCATTCATCGAAAAGCAGCCTGAGAACGCCGTTCAGCTGAACTGGAATCACCGCCTGCTGCAAATGGAGAAGCTACGCTCCATCTGTCTGCCTGAGATCGCCCTGTGTCTGAACGAAGTCATGTTTAAGTCCGGAGACTTTGCGGGATGTGTGCGTCTAGCGGATGAAATCTCCAGCGAAAACCGGCAGCTGTACAAGGTCTACACGAAGCACAAACTGGCTGAACTGCTGGCCAAAATTGCCGACGCCTCGCTGGAGCTGCTCAACTCGAAACTGGATCCATGGGGTTACCCCATCACAGTGTAGGATGTGTTCCCAGTACAATACGTGTGTTTTGCAAATACATTCTAACTTTAAACGTTTATTATGTTTCACTTACACAACTAAGGAGCGAAAAAAATGGGAGGTAAAGGGTCTAGGAGTTGTTGTCCACCGCAGCGACATTGTTCTCATCGCAACCATTGCTATGCTTTCAGCAGGTAGGAGGCCAGAAACTGAATGGGATCCGTGGGTCGTTCGCGGGCAAGAGCCTGCAGTCCGTGGAGCAGAACAGGCGCAACCGTCTGGTCGAGGTACTGTCGCGTGGGCATGGAGCTGGTCTCTCCGCTGGGCTTCTTGGCCGCCGGCTGTTGTTGCTGCTGCTGGGTCACTGGGTTCGTGGATTGGCCAACGGTGGTGGCACCGGATGAAGCGGCACCCGGCGCGACGGTCGAGTTGGTCTGCGCGTTATTGCTGCAGTTCTGCTCCTTGGCGGAATCCGTCGACGGATTTGGCGTGGGCGCCGGGGAGATGGGAGCATCGGTTTTGGCCTCCATCGCAACGGCTATATGGGGTTCCACAAATATTGGGCTCTCAGGTGGCGTCCAGTCAAAAAAATTCGATACGATTTGAGTTTACAAGTCGATAATTTGCAATTGAAAAATGAGCGATATATCGCATATATGTTACTTTTGTATCATATTTGGGGTATTCATGCGTTTATGTCGTTGTCCCACTGTTTTGATTTATTTGTTTTTAATTTTTCTGAAATATAATTTTTCTTTAAGTCTTTCTTTTACCGGCCATTCTTACTTTTTATCATTTGAGTCAATTTAAGTAATGTATTATTAAAAACTTTCAAGTTATGCTCACGTCTTTCTATTTTCTCAGTTTAAAATTTTATGACAAATAGTTACGGCTAAATATGCATCCTGTCTGAACCGGCCTTAAAATTCAAACGGGCACTGATACTTTGAATATTTTGTCACGACTGTGACTCGATAGAAAAACTTGGATGAAATATCGATTGTCATCCCCAATTGTTCCAATTGGGTGAAAATTAGACCGAAAAACTTGGAAAATCTAACAGATCAATTAAAACATGACGGAGCTGCTGATTGATCCAGACATCCGCGTGTGGGTGTTTCTGCCCATCGTGCTGATCACTTTTTTGGTGGGCATTGTGCGGCACTACGTCTCCATACTAATTTCCACACAGAAAAAGGCCGAGATCACCCAGATCCAGGACAGGTGAGGGCACAAAGTGCAATGAAGCACCCCTTGAAATACTTACCGTTTCATTTACAGTCAGGCGATGATACGGGCACGTCTGCTTCGTGAGAACGGCAAATATCTGAGTGCCCAAAGTTTCTCTATGCGAAAGAACTTCTTTAACAACGAAGAGACCGGCTACTTCAAAACCCAGAAACGAGCTCCAGTGGCCCAAAACTCATCCGCCATGCTCACCGACATGGTCAAGGGTAACTTCATCAACGTCCTGCCCATGGTTGTGATCGGTGGCTGGATCAATTGGATGTTCTCGGGCTTCGTCACCACCAAGGTGCCCTTTCCGCTGACCCTGCGTTTCAAGCCCATGCTCCAGCGGGGCGTGGAGCTGGCGTCCTTGGATGCTGCCTGGGTCTCTTCGGCTTCCTGGTACTTCCTGAACGTCTTCGGCCTCCGCTCTATCTACACTCTTGTCCTTGGCGAGAACAATCACGCCGACCAGACGCAGGCCCAAGCGGATGCCATGACTGGCGCTGCGATGACCATGCCGCAGGATCCAAAGGCGGCATTCAAGGCCGAGTGGGAGGCACTGGAGATCACCGAGTACCATAATGCCCTCAAAAACATTGACGCTGATATGCTGACCATCGTTAACGCTGCATTGGACAAGAGTCCTTGAGTGACGAAGCCTGCGGGCTCATCCTAATTAAGATATTTTAGCAAATTCCCAGATGTAACAAATCAGATTTTGTTTAAGAGTCCAAAAGGGGTTAAAATAAAGCAAGTTGTGTGTCTATAATAGGAAATTGTTTTCAGCTGACTTGCATTGTAAGAGGCATTTAATAAACATTTTTAAACTGATTAAAATCATCTTGTTCCCCAGAAAATATACAAAAATCATAATTTTGATTCCAATAGCTCTGGACTTGTCTATGACTGAAAATTTTAAAGATGACCCACTCCCAGTCGCGTGTTAACTGAATAATAAAAAAGAACAAAGTAGAAAATAACTTAGTAGTAGGCCTCTTCGGTGGCCTCTGTTTGTGGAGCTGGCTCCTCGGCTGCGGGCTCTGACGGAGCGGATACCGGTGGCGACGGAGCCTTCTGCAGCACAGGTGGCGAGGGAGATTTCTGTAACATCGGCTCCGGCTCACTAGGTGCATCTGTGGGTGGTCCTGCAGCATCTGACTCAGCATTTTTCGATGGGCCTGCTTCGCCGCGAGCCGTGTTCAAAGGAGACGGAGGACGGGCGGTGGCCTGGACCTTGAACTGCTTCTCCGGCTTCTTAAGATCTTTGGGCTTGCCCATTAGACGGTAATCATTTGGCAACTCTGCCTCTGTGTAGAGCTTGTCGGCGAAGTAGATGCGGCGGATGCGAACGTTGGCATGCAGCTGCAAAGACACCGTCTCCAAGTAGTTGGACCCATAGGCACGGCGCGTAAAGTCGGCTAGGTTGAACTGGATCTGATTCCAACCTGGGGACATGCCCATCGGCATAGCCGTACAGAATGGTTTCACAGATGTCTTGCTCTGGAAATTGGACACTCGGAAGCGTCGCATAAAGCGTTGATCGTCTTGAATCTAAGGAGTGAGATCGACCTTTATCATTTCTCATATAAAATGGAATCCCAAACCCCTTAACTAACCTTAACTTCGAAACAGAAGTACTTGTGCATATTCTTTATCAGAAGCACTAGGAACGGCAGCTTGATGCCCAGCTGCTCCTTGCACTCGCTGGGACAGTGTATGAAAGTGGTGGAGACGTTGGACCCCATGATCTCGAGAACCAGAGACTTGATGTCCTCATCGTAAATCCGCTTTATGTAACCGTTCTTTGTCTGTTCAAGGAAGCTTTCCAGAAAATGCATAAGAGTTTCATGTATTTTAGATACTCACATAGGAGGACCAGTTGGTAAGGGGCGAGCTGCCCACGCTGTACAGCACGGTTAGAAACCCTTTCTGGTAGGCTGAACGATACATTTTCGATTGTATATTTTTGAACTGTGTCTGGTTTATACGATTAGGCTAAGAACAAGTCTCCAAATGACTGATTTGGAACAGCAAACTTAAACTAAATACAGACTAATTGTAAAAGGGATTGTAGGTGACCCAGTGAGCTCGCTCCTGATCCTTCTCGGTCTTATGCGAAGTAAAAAGCGATTTGTAGACGTCACTGGCCTTGGGATCTTTGGCCACGCTGAAGTCGCTCTTAAGGCGCTTTAGCTCGGGATCCTGCATAGCGTTTACCGCGCCAAGTCGTTTAAGCTGGGCCACCGCCTTGACTTTCGTGCTCGTAGTTGGCTTTTCTAAAGCAGCAGACTTGGATGTTGACGCCACTGGTTCCTGAGGCTCTTCAGGTTCAGTTTTAACCTCCGTCTTTTTGGCTCCCTTTTTCTCCTTCTTGGATGACTTGCGTTTGGCTGCCCGCATCTCCATTTTAACCCTCATCAACTCCAGATCCTCGTCATTTCCGTTGAGCACAACAACGTCCTCGACGCTGTACGGAGCCTGACAAAGCGGGCAAGTGCTGGCTGCGTTTCCCTTGATCTGTTTTAATGCCCGTTCGGACAGCACACATCCACAGCTCCACAGAGCAACGAAGCGGAACTTGCCGGACATCTCAAGGCCAATCAGCTTGCAGATATACGGAGCATTGCGTGTGTCCAACAGACCCTCTGTCTTGTCCTCTTCGGTGAAGGCAGGATTAGGTGTGGGATTAAGCTGGCGGATGTCCTTCATGCTCTTTACATGCGCCGCGGTCTCGGGCATCGGCTCTTTCTCAAGGAGTCTCTCGATTACGCTTTGCTTGGAGTAAAGCCTGCCCATGCCGCACATGGCTATCGGTTCCTGAAGGCGTTGCTGTGTCAATGCGCAGTGGCGCCAGCGGAACTCCCGCTCTGCATCCTTGTCTTTCTGAAACGTTCGAATTATGAGAGTTAGTTAGGCTTTAATGAAATTATTTAATTACGTACCTGTTCCGGCTTCTGCTTCACACGCACCAACTCATCACGCCTGGGAATGGTTCCACCATCGCAACCCATTATTTATTATATATTATTTTTAAGGTTTCCAAACTTTTTCTTCGCTTGTCTTTTGTTTGGAACCTGAGATCTGTAATTTATCTTCCACATTATTTAGTTTTATATTAAGTTAAAGCTACATCACTTACCCAAAATGAACAACAAGTATATATATTTAAAACCTTTTTGGTTTTAATTATGTTTAATTAACGTTCTATTTTCAATTTTTATTTATTTTTACAGAAATGTTGCTCATATACACAGTCAGCTGTGTCGATTACAACGATTAATATGTGTATCGATTGCTTGTCTGCGATTGGGGTGACCATAGCAGCTAAATCATTTTGAATATTGTATTTCCATTTTTTTCATTTTGAATGGTAAGTGATAGCCATTGTGAATAAAAATATTTTTTTAACACCTTCAGTGATGAGTAAACAAAATAATATTGCAAATAATATTTTTTCTGAAATTTATTATCAACATCTCTATTATAGAATTACAACCTATTGAAGACCAGCTCCTACGCATCTGTGAAGGGGCAGTGCTTGGCATACGGCACATCTATGCAAATGCAGCCTCGGGCGCTAAAAATTTGAGTTTCATTAAAATTGATAAAAAAAAATAATTCGCTAAATTTCTTTGGAGATCTTACTCATCGGGAGCGTCGTTGCCTATGTGATACTCCCTCAGCAGCGAGTTGAACTCAAAGGGATTTATTTTTCCACTGACGGGCAGCCTCTTTGAACCACTGAGATTCAGGCAGCCATTGGGACATGGAACCCCCATAAACTTCTTGTGCTTGAAAGTGGCCGTGGCCAAGTAACAGATGCTCAAGAAATGCGAGCAGCGGGATCTTCCTGTTGGATACAATCATATTTTATATAAGTATGCATTCTTTGATATAGCGATATATAAGCTCTTACTGATTGGATTTCCCTTGCAAAAAGGCTGGATGCGTCCTCCGTTGACGCAATAGTTGAGGTGTCCGGTATTATCCTCCTGCCCCAGGAATCCTGCATTAGTATGAATCACCTGGATGACATTGGCATCGTCTATTGACAACCGGAAGGTGTTGCTCTTCTTGCGCTCTATTAACGGCCGAGCAGGATCCAATCCTATGATGCGGTACTGTTTTCTCGTCAGATGATTGCTGATCATGCCGCAAATGTGGGCGCCCAGCGAGTGGCCCACGCAGGTGATCCTTTCCCGAACTGCTCCGTAGTGGGTCAGGAAGGCGTAGATCTGAGCGGTGCACTGAGCCGTGAGCCTGGTGTTGATCAGCGAGTGTAAGTAGCACGGATAGCGGGTCAGAGGTCTCCAGTCCACAGTGATGACGTTAAAATCGCGGGATAAGTACGCTAAAATTGTGAAGAGTTTATAAAAGAAGATACCAGAAATATTAAATATTTTATTTTATGAAGATTATAGAATCTATTTAACTCCATACTCACCATCTCTAAGAAATTGTAGGTGAATATCGATGGCGGTTCCATTAAACCCATGAATTATGAAAACTGTTTCGCGGTGTTTGCTGAAACCACCTTTATATAGGCTCATTGGGTTTTTCACGTTTAACGCGATTCCTCGGCGTGGCCCATTGCTGAAACAAATATTTAATATATATAAAAATTTTTTGGTTTAATCCTTTTTAAATAATAAAATTGATTAAGGGATAATACTAAAAAATCAGTTATAAAATAAAAATTATTAACTATGTGAGTGTTATTAGGAATTTATAACGTCATTTATGGTGTTTAAGTATTTTCTTGTCTTTAAAGTTATAAAAATTATAATTGTTACTTCTGAAATGGCAGTATTAAATGGCGATAATAGTTTGCAAATATATCTGTGTTGTTTGCAAATGTTTTTCGTTTAAATGGAACGATCAACATTCCTCGTGGGTATAAAACCGGAGAAACCTCTCGTGCGAGAAGCCAGAACATGGTCAATAAAGTGATTTTCGCTTGCTTCCTCTTCACTTTGGTTTTCTGTCTTAACATTATTTATTGTCAAGCAGATTTTGTAGAAAAACGTATATATTGGCTAAGAATAATGAAAATGATTCGTTGTCATAATAAATTGTATTTGGAGAAGAATCTTTACTTTTTTGTTAAAGATAAATCATCAAAGAATTTTGAAACAGTTTTCATTACATTATACTGTATTTTAAGATACCTAATGATACTCAATTAAATATTCCACATTAAAAAATAATTGATAGAAAATGAGATTTCTTAGCCGAAGAAATGCAAAAAAGTACAGTTATCAGCAATTACTGTGAGAATGATTCCCATAAGTCTTTAACGAGATTAAATAGTTGCAGACGACTATTTGAAAGTCTCTTGGTTGGAGTTCCCAGAACGGAGGTGTCAATCCGGTAATTTTTCGCTGTTATACAACCATCAATCAGCAGACTGTTAAACGCTTGCCATCATGTAATCCCCTCTGCCGGTTAATGTTACCACAGCAATTACCCGTCTGCTCTCCAAAAATGGACTTCACCAGTTGCGACTTTGTCTCATATTGGGAGTTGGTGGTGAACTTGAACAGACAAGTTGCCAAGGAGTCGTTTGTAAAGCATTTTATTGGCCAATTGGCCATTGAAATCGATGTCATCGCTGGCCAAGCTTGGCGGTAAATATGGAAGATGCAGGCCACCTTTTGGCGAGAGAATCTCATCCTTAGTGGGTCAGTGGCTGGTTTTCAAGAAACGAGTTGCCCGCCCATTAATTGCACTCTTATTTTTCGGTTTTTTTTCCAGCCAATATCCTTGTGGTTGCACAAGTGCAGTGCGTTAAGTGTTTCGGCAGTTGACACACTAACCGAGTGAGCAATCCAGTTGCCTAACACCTGAGGAACTTTCTCCCCCGCCCAACAGATGGCATAAATCATCACCATAAGTTGGCTAAGCCCGCAGCATAGAGAAAATAACCTAACTCAAACTAAGATGACTACTAATCGAGTTTTATTTGAGTTACCGCTCATAATAAACTTCAACTTGTATACGTATATCATTTATTGATTTTATTAAAACGACCCAAAACCAGTTTCATTTATGAAGGAAATATTTTTGCATGAAATTAATTCACTTTCTTATAGGAATTTTATTACTCTGAGCACTTTCTGATCTTTCAAATTGCTTTTTTAATGTTTTGTTAAAATGTTTCTTGCACATCCCATTAAACTTACGGAGCATACAGCCGGTGATCGATATGCGGACTGGGACAGAAATTCTTATCGCGCAAAAAGCAACGCAAGACATTTAGGTCCAGGGCTCCACTGTTGCGCAGATTCTTCCAATCCATTTGACTTAACAGCAATGTTTGTGCATCTGCAATTGTATTTTCCATTCAGGATTCTTTATTTTTAGTCCTTCTTAACATTAATTTTTTAATATGCTCGTACCTTTGGCAAATAGTGAGAATAAGCAAAGCACGACGAGATGTTTCATTTTACTTAAAATTTCCCGGTCTTGTGACTTATTTGTTTTTTAAAGAAATTATTTTTAACTTTCTTTATTTTTTATGACATAATTCAAAGCAAAATGATTCAAGCCAAAAGAAATATTTCCAATTTTAATTCCTTTTCAGTTTACAGCTAAAAAATTCTTCACTTAAACACTTTTATAGATCACAAATCGAAATCTCATATTTTCGATGTGCTTTATCGTTAAGATTACTAATTTCAATTTAACAGAGCACTCAATTTTTATTTGGTAATATTTATAACGTAATCCAGTAATTTAATTAGTGACTTGTCAAGAAAATAATTATACAAATTAATTTTGTTTTCCCACGTTTTAGTTTTTAATTATTGAGTTATTTTACTAGAGGACATTCGGCTTTCCTCTTTTCGAATTTGATTTGCTTTCACATATTTTGTATATTTAAACCAGATTCCATGCCGCATTTCCGTTTAAATTGACAACTTGCACTGCGATCACATGTTTTGTTAATTGATATCCATTTGATTTTGACAAGCGATTTCATTGTAATCCTTAACATTGAAATTAGCAATTTTGATTTTTTCGCGAGCAATCCGCACAACGTCTTGCAGATTCGCGTTGTGCGCTGCAAATGCGCGAAATTGCGCGACTGAGGAAAATGCAGTCGTCGCTTGCAGAAGCAGCAACTGCAGCAGCATTTGCAACGGTAGTAGCAATACCAAAAGCAGCAACACTAGCAAAAGCAACAGGCAAGGCAAAAACTGGCCAAAGAATCGCTCAACCCACCGCCTATTGCCTTGACTTTGCCCAACTTCGACTTCGAAACGTGAACGACTTTGGCTAATATATGAATAATGATGCCGTTGTTATTGCTGTTGCCTGTATGGTTGCTGCAATTGCTGCTGGTGTTGTTAATGTTGTTGTTGCTGCTGTTGCTGTCTGCCTGGCGACGACTATAAAATAAAAATTCACGGCACACGCAACGCTGCACTGATTTTGATTATGAGTTTCGAAGTTGAAAATGGGTGGCTTTCGGTTTCGTTTTTCAACTCAATGCCGTTGCCTTCTTCATGGTGTCTGCAGTTTGTAATTTATATGTTTATTATTTACATAACATTCGCATTGAATGCAAATTCTAATAATTTCCCTCAACGACAACTTGTCTAGTTTGTTTCCTAAGTTTTTCGTTTTAAGCTACCAAGTGATGGGGGTAAACATTATCAGATATTCATCTTTATGGTGACTGGCTGGCCTTTCAAATTGCCCTCTTTTGCCGGTTCAAGGCCGGGAAAAAGAAAGGTGCAATATCAGGGATCAAATGGGACCATTTATAAGGCAAATCTGGATTGCCAAAAAGTGAAAGATTCGATTGTATGTCTAGGCTTGCGTGGTGAGATTGCTTATATTATAAAATAAAATCGTTATGGCGGTATAAAAACAAACTTCAATTGGGATCATAAAAAAAGTGTATCTTGGTTTTTTGAAAAACTTATTAAATTCACTTTCCAAGTAGTATATCTTTTACTTTGTTTCGAAATTAAAAACTTGTAAATATTTTTACACTTTTACAGAAAGAAAATTCCACTTCGTTAGAAACTATAATACTTATGAGTAGATTTGATCTTTACTTTTTTTAGCTAATTTTTTCAAAAGTAATCAATCACTTACTAAACTTTCACACATGTCACTTTACTTACCTCGTAAACAGCTGATAATCTATATACCGCTTGGGGCACGTTTCCCACAATAAGATGTGGCAATTAAGCGGATTCAAGTCGAAATTTCCATTGCGTAACAAGAACTGCAGTGCCTCTCGATGATATTTGGCTATAAAAAAAAGGAAACTAACTAAGCACACAAGTCACAAAATCCTTATCAACACAGCGATCTTCGCACTTACACGCGTTCGTGATCGAATTGAGGGAAAGTAGCGATAACAGTAGGACGATAAAGCCGGTCAACATTTTGGCCAAATGAACTTAGCATTTGAATTGGTATCACGATCCGAGGAGAGCTAGGCACATCGGGTTAAATGGAAGGCGTCTAATTGAATGCCGCCATTCGCATTCGCCTTTCTGCCAAACTGGGGAGACAAGAGCTTTTAAAAGCTGTATCCGCACAAGAAAATGGAAAAACGAATCAAAATCACCGAAAATTGACACTCACGAACGACCCGGCGCCATCTGTGGGTTGGGTGACATTGCTTTGTGGGGAGCTACCGGGCGGTTGTTTTTCATATTTCGGTTTCATGTGCACAGAAGTTGCGTGTAACCGAAGCCCCGATTTTCATATGGCCGAGGTGCACTGGGAAAAATAACGGAGTACAAAGTTGTCTCAGGAAGCCAAAACTAGTACGATTCTAGAACCAAAGGAATTCATTAAAAACTAAAGTTGATTATTTAACATTTTTTTTAATATTTCTTTCAGTTTAGCTTTAATGGTAGGGTAAAAACTTTTTCTGTGTTTCCTTTGATTAATCTCCAAAAATCGATTTTGTTATAGTTTGGATAAATGTATAATCATATTAATAAACATTTCCGTTTTAATTAAATTTTGATCAAAGCAGTTTTTCTGGGGGTGTATGTATCATATTGTCGACTAATGTGATTTTTCGCAATAGTCTATAGCGTTATAAACGCCTATTGATTGCCACATATGGACACCTGCAGGCTCCAGCATTGTCCACAGCAATAAAGAATAAAAATAATTAAAAAAGCTTCAGTCGTAGATAGCAGTGAAATCAGTTGGAAAACAACCTGAATATTTGATAAAAGTTATGGCATTGATCTTAGCCCAATTAAGAGCTATCACGCAACAGTTAACATTTCTTTTTAATAATAAAAGTTAATAATTTAATATGTCATTGCTTACTAAGACTTATGCTTAATTTTGTACAGTGTTTAGCAAGATGAAGAGTTCTTTAAACGAACAAGATTTAGGCTTCATTTTCATCTGCACCTTCGGGATCAAGTCAGCTCAGGTTAGTGAACTTCACCTTGGAGGCCAATTTAAAAGTCAGCCCAAATGATTTCCCTACACCTAAGAGAAAGAGGCTGACAGCAAAAGTGGTGGCAATTAATTCTGACCACGAAAGGGAAAAACAGATCTCAGTTACGGAAAAGCGCGGGACCAGGCCCAAAATGACATCAAACGTTGTTTTTTTATTTTTCAACCGGCAGACAAGGCTTTTTCAAACGAAAGTAAACAATGTTCGGTCCTCGGCTAATGCATCTAATTGAAAGTAATGAGCTTGTTGGCCTACAACACCGCAAAACGGGGCTAAAGTCAACCGGTAGGAAAATAAAAACGTTTTTCATGGGTTTTTGATATAGTTAAGCCATTCATAGGGAAAGAAAAATAAAATGCAAATGGTAAAGAAAGAAAAACCGCAGAGCAGATACAAGGAAAACTCTCGCCAACTTCATATTGCAAGTAGTTACTCTATACGAAATTTTTATAGGATAATAACTGACGGGTTTATCTACTGCAATAATATTTTTGATATTAATACTTGTTTAACAAATAACAATAATTTGATACAAAAATCTGTAATCTTGTAAAAAACTATGAATTTTATAGCTTTTATAATGTGATTTGATTTAAAGTAAAGACTGCATTTCGAATTTCAAAAAAAGCATTTGATATTCGTTATTACCCAATGCTTTCCCTTTCAGTATTGGTGTTTCCATTGGTTTTTCATGGTTGCAGGTCCCAGCCAATTGTGCATTTGATGTAATGTTTTGAGTTTTTCATTCATCTGGTTGCGGTTGATGAAGAATAAGTGGCAATTGCATATCATTTTCCCGGATTGCAATGCTAGGAACTAGTTGCTATTCACACTCCGACGCTATTCACCTGCCATTGTCTTTTGAGTCAAGATCTACGCTCTTAATTATTAACCCAATTATGATTGTAATCTATCTAATTGTCTCAGTCTTAGCACCAACGAAATATTTTGCAGTTATATGCCCGAATTAATATGAAAAATTCATGCAGTCTTCAATATCACTTGGCCTAGCAATCAATCAGCTCAATTTATGATTTTTTGTTTTGCAAATTACACACATTGCAAATTAATTGGCCATGACCAATTTTGGCTTATTTCGCTCATTTGTATTTCTCCTTTTTTTACGTGGCATAAATTTCCAATAAAGCTGGATAAGTTATGGGCCATAACAGCGGCTGGAAGTTTCCGTAAAACATTCGCAAAAATTATAAAAATTAAAATGTGAGCAGGGTTTAATAGGAGTAATAATAATAATAATATTATAATAAAAAGATATTGCACTAACTTTAATAAAAACAAAAATATGAAATAAGAAAAATTAAATAGCTTTAACGTTACCTTTTCTAGTATCAATATTATAAACAAATAAGTAGTAATGAAACAAAACAATGTTGAAATTATTATTATAATTATAATTAATTAAAAAGAAATACATTTTAAAGGTTGTCTTACAATTCTATTTTGTTTAAACGTCATAAAAAGGGTATCACATTTTTTGTTATTTACATAGATTGGAACCCAAGCAAGCAGTTCACTTATGGTGCAGGAACTGGCTTAATGTTAGCAAAAATGTTGGTTAACAGATATCTCAGCAAAGTAATTTACCAGAGAAGCCAGCTTTCTGTGGAAACCGAAGCAGAAAGTCGTAAAATAAATTTATTTTCGTAGATATGTTTAAGGTTTTAATTAAATTTTATTATTTGATATTAAAGAGGACTCAAAAAGGTATATATTCTTTTTTAAAATCTTGTACTCTTTGGGAAATATGTTACATAAATTGATTAACATTTCAGTTTAGTTTTTTTAGTCATGCCTGCCTATCTAGGCAGCATTATATTTAATTTTGTTAAAAGCTTAATGAAGTACTATTTACTTTGCTACAATAAAGTTGATAATTTGATTGAATTTTTAAAAAATAAGTGTTCTTTCTCTATTTATTGTTATTTCTACCCAAAGCTGCCAGAATTTTCCTTAATCTATTGGCTTATTTGAATTCCAATTTAATTTA